CCAACAGGTCCGTCTTTGAATATGTTTTCTTTAAAATACTCTCAAATTTATATTTCTAATATGTGATACAAAAAGCTGATGACTTATGCTTGACATAATGATTTGAAAATAATGTAAGAAGCATGTTTCGACAGAGCGCCTAATACGTTAAGTTTACCTTTTTACATAATGAATTTAAGAAAGCTTTTTAAGCTTCCTACTCAATCTGAAAATCTTATCTCTATGTAATTTGTTCTGTAAATGAAAGGATAATCAAAATCATATTGTTAAAACTAAATAATTAATTTTGAAAACTTTATATCTGAGTTATATGTCCGCTTGAAAGTTTACCTTAAGTTTTTTGTATCGATTTTGGCTTCGGATTGTACTTTTTGGGTTAGATAGACTATATTTCGAACATGTGAGCTCGTCATATCATATACTTTAACTCTTTAGGTGTGTATCCACTTGGTAAAACGAAAAAAATATTAATAACTATAAAATATATTTGTAAGCATGATGAGCAACGGAAAACAAAATAATAATCCCGTAAAGACAGTGAATATGTTTAAATCAAAGTCAAAAATAACATCGCAATTTCATCAAGGTCAGTATACCATATCTTGAATGGACCCGACAATTTTACTTCAAACTGAAATTTAACATACACGTCTTTTTTACCGTTTGTGCACTGAAAAAAAATCACTATATATGTTTACATGTTTATTGAACTTTTAATACTATGTACAGTAGAATTTTAACTGTACACTGCCATTCAATAATAACTTTCATTTTGTGTATTGATTGACCTAAATTGTGCACAAACATTTTTTAACGGGACCTCGTGACAGTGCCCGTATGTAAACAAGGACGTATTATTTACCACCTTTGCATTTCTATTGTCCGTTTCAAACTGGCATCGAGTAACGAATACAATTTTCTTTTTCGTGTGTATCTACCCCCTTCAGGTGGTAGCTGTTTGTTTGTTTTTTACTCTTTTTTTCATTTCTCATGATAATTATTAATTGTCCTCCAACAAATACCTTAAAAATAATATTGTACTGTGTGTAGAAATTTATTAAATAAAACCTGTCATGTGTTAAAATTAACAGGTATTCACCACTGTTATATATACTCATGTGTTAAATTATATGTAACTTGAGTTAATAAAGATATGTTCTGTTCTGTTCTACACCTAAAGCAGCATTGATCGAAAATTAGCGAAGAGAATGTATCATCTGCTTATAACTGATGATCTTTATTTATTTTGGTATCAAAACAAACAAACACCTCTACACAGCCATTCTAAATTATTTAAAATTAAACATGAAATGTTAATGAATTCCATAAACATTGTCAGTTTTAGGCTTGCCCAGTTTTGAATTATGTATATGACTGTAATTGTCTTCTTCTACTGCAGTCGTCCTCTGTTTGCTGGAATAACCTTCTCCAGAACATTCATCAGCTTGATATTGCGTCCCGTATACATTATCAGTTTTAATGTGTTTCGATAAATCACCATTAATGTGATTGTATGTATCTCCCTCCGCTTCTTGACAGTCATGTGTTTCACCTTTAGGAGAAGTATGCATATTAAGTTTTGCAGCAACCGTTTCCGTTGTGTCGTATTCGTTGTTTTTCATACCAACTTGTGCGTTTTGTACTCGGTCGTAAGTGGCGTGTTCGCCTAGTTTACGCCGCCGATCGTAATTGTTTTGCTATTTTCAAAAAGTCTGTGCATTTTTACTTGCCTGCTATGTTTATATACCATTTGGCATTGTAAAATTTTCCTTTTCCGGGTTTTTTTTAATACAAAAAAAGTATCGGAAACTGTTCTTCCCCTTTTATTCCAATATTTTGGATCAGCAAATCCCTGGTGAGGCGATGCTTACTTTGACTCTCTTTTTCTTTATCAAATGTCTTGCTTACCGGTTTTGTTTTCTAAGTTTTTGTTTTGTGCAGTTTTTCTTTTCAGCATGAACCGAAGGGTCTTTTTATAAAAATTAAAAAAATTTTTTTAAAAAATTTTTGATGAACAATCGACAAAAAAAATTTATTTTGTGTACATTTTTGTTCCATTAAAAATTTTGTTTTTAAAAAACCAAAAAGAAAAAAGTAGAAAATTTTTACAAAGTTCAAGTTTAATTTTTTGGGGTTTTTTTTAAAGTCATGATTCATGAAATTGTTTCCATCTTGATGCCGAAAATAATAAATCAAGGTTGTAAAATTTATAATGAAATTTTTTTTCTAATGAAAATGTGTTTGTATCTATAAAATAAAACTTTTGTATAAGCTGTATCATTAACGAAACAGAAACGTTATTTACAACTTTCTACTCATAACAGTAACCAAAAATAATTTAATATATATATAAACCAGTCTGATACAGTAAGAATTAAGTATTTTACATGTTATTAAATGCTTTTGTATATGTAACGATTATCATAAACAAAAAGGATATGTTTTCTAGATATATATAGATATAGATCTAACATACTTTCTTCTTCTGAGTATCATGCAAACAACAACAGCAGCAATCATTATGACACCAGCGACTGAAACACCAGCTGCAATAGCTGCTGTACCTAAAATATTTGTCATGAATAATAATCAATGGCGGCGTGGCTGAGTGTAAATCGGACTTTTAATCTAGAGAATGCCGGTCGCGTGGGTTCAAACCACACCAGGGACAAGCCGCTGTTTTCGTAAACAAGAAACTTTATACCAATTGCTTACTACTGGTTGGTTGCAGATTCGAGAGTGTTTCAATAACCTTATCTTCCAACACAATCGAGCTAAAATACATTCTTATGAACTAGAAAAAAATGATTCAGTAATAGAAAATAAAGCAATTTTATCTCTCACGCCCCCTTCCCCGTGCACTTGAATTTCAATTATCAGTATATTTATTGTTATCAATAAAATTGAATCATATGATAAATGATATTATACCTTTGTTTATCTTTTAGATACGAATGGCTTTCCTGCAATTAAGACTTTACAAAACAGTGTTTTATTCATTGTATGCATAGTATTTTTTTAATGAACATGGTTATCTGTTGTCTTCTTTTTTATGTTAACTTTGTTGTTTATAATTATTTTACCTTAATGTAAAAGACAACACGTTAAAACTTATATACGGTTTTGCCCTATATTCAAATTGCACGTTTTTATTCTCATATTTTCCAGCTGTACCTGAATCATCACCATCATTGGTTTGTTGTTGTTCCTTTGGCGTTTGTATATCGCCTTTGCACAACGACTTCTTTTGTTCTTGAATGCTGCTGGTAAACTGAATTTCGTACCTGTCAGAAGCATCCGATCTTTTCAAATACCCATATTCTAAATGAACGTTTCCAACAATAGGTTCTATAGGTTCTAAAAGAAACAGTAAGCACACTTTACAATTGATTAAAGTGACAATTATAAGATGTCACTATTGCAGGCATTGTTAACAATAGTTCTTTAAGTATTACACATGTTTACAGTTAACATACTATGTTAAACTTTATAAACCGCTATATTGATACTTACGGATACCTGAGAATATGAAGATTGACAGACTGCGACACATTCCTGTCCAAGATTCTGTAGTATTTCCGTTAAATTTCACAGCATTTTCATATAAAAGTGGTCGAACATTGCAGCCAAAACAAAAGTTATTTGCCAGATACCATGGAAAAATTTTCTGACCTTTGGCTGGAGCAGGCACATCGTAAGCTGTTGTTCCTAAAATTGATGGAAGTATGAGACCAATGCTTTTCATTCATATCCGGATGTCACTATAAATCACTACAAAAATGTCAGATAAAATTACAAGGAAAATCTAAACATAAAAGGTTCAACACATAAACAAGGGATAATAGAGGGAAATATTAAATACATGTTTTTTTGTAATTTGTAATTGTAATTTGTACAATATTCCATCGAACAGTAAGTCAGTTGTGTTAAAGAATGGGTTTTTAAAGACAAGTAATTCTAGACATTACATTTAGTTTTAAGTTATGACAACCGTAACGTCTTTTACTTTCAGTGCAGTTGTAGTTAAAATATGTATACAGTAGAGGTTAGCAGCTGAAAGAAATATCAAAAACAACGTTTTATAGATCAGTTTACATATTCCCATGAAATAGTTGTCACATATGGTAATTAGTTGCCCTTTTCCAGTTGAATTGTTATGAATTTGTTTAGCATTGTTGATGCATGTTACAAGGTTTTAAAAGCTTAAATGTCAAGTCAAACACCAAATAGTACATTCAATATAAATGGACATGCCTGGTATCAAAAGCGCATATAGCGCACAAATTTGTAAAAACATTATTTTTGTTTTTGTCATTTCCTTTTACTGTCTGCTTCGGTTTCAGATAGTTTAACCTACTGATTAAATATAATATTTCTATTATTTACCATCTTCACATATACTGTGTAACGCACCGTCGCACTTATCCCACAAAAGCATCTTGTCCGTTCCGATTCTGACGCAGTTACTTTTATAATTTTTTGGATTAAACACCTTACGGATGTTTAGAACTGTAATGGTAAAAATATTTAAACATGTTTGAAAATCTTAATGTCCAGCAAAATTATCCAAAAGCATTGTAAATAAGATGCCGAGATCAACGATAATTATTGCGAGACTTAAGCCACATTAATTGCGGGCAGTTTAAAAAGTTCGATGAGCTATTAAGAACTACATTTGTGTATTGCTGTGTAAAAGTGTGTACTCTCTTAAGAAAGCACAAATTAACAAAAGTTAAAAGTTAAATGAGTGTTAAAACAATATCATAACTGGTATGTTGACATGTCAAATGACGATCATCTCCTTTTACTGTAATTTAATCATTAAAATGGCCATAAATGCCCAGCTCTATTTATCATCCATTAAAAAAGCTGTATTTATTAAAAATGTATATGTGACTGTGTTAATTTTCATAGAAGAAGTAAAGTCGATTCCGTTTTTACTCACCTTCAATTTTTCATAGTGCTTCATAGAACCGCGTCAGTAAAAATCGACAGGTAGTGAAGTAATAAATTGTATATTAATGAAGCCAAATAAAGCTTGACACTAAGTATGTTAGTGTTTATCCGAAGCTATCGCTCCCGTCGAAGTTTCTTATGTTTGTAGAATAGCACAGAATACCACAAACATATCTTTAGTATTGCTTTTATAGATATTTTTTAAATTGTAGCAAAGGTTCATTTCAAGTTTTAAACACAGGCTAAAACCCTCAAAATCAATATGCTGTTGTACATTTCAGTGTTAATGTTAATTACCCAAGTAAAGCAGATGATATGGTGAAATACACTGAAGAGCGTAAGCATATCATTTAAACATTTTGTTGACTAAAACATATTATGTATCATAAACTGCGTACACCTATCACTTCTGCATATTTGCCTTACCTTTCCTATTAACCACATATAAGGAAATAAATGGTGGCCCCCCACAAGCCAAACCTTCAGAGGGTGTCGGACATGGTTCATAACATGACGCATAGCTAACTAGTGTCTGTTTTGCCGTGATCGTTTCAAAACAAAAACACTGTAAAAGCACAAAATATCTGTAATTTCAAATTAAACAAACTGATAAATTTTACGTTTTAAAACAACTCATATTACCGAGGTGCGTGAAATATAAAGTTGAAAAAAAACTAGACTTTTGACAATGTTCATTTATTATATACTTCTGATATCTAAAATTAATATGATTTTGATTTTACACATATTAGGTTCATTATTAAATCTTACCCGATTTATGGCAAGTAATAAGAAAAATATAATTAGAATTAGAAGTGTTAATAAATTGACAAAACTAATAATAAACTAAAGATTTTCTACCTTTCTATATTTAAGTATTTACTTTATTTATTTAGTTTTACCTCATGACCCATTAGTCCAATAACTGATCCTCTTCGTGAACATACAGAAAAACAATTTCCTGGTGAATTCTTCACAATATGATTCGATTGAATTCGTAAGATTTCTGGATATTCTATGCAGCCTAAATTTATTTGATATTCAATTTTTAAAACTGTAAAACTTGAATTAATAAAACGATGGATACGTAGAAAAACAAGGAAAGCTAATATTAGTATGAAGTGACGTTCAAGGTATGGAACTTCAATTTATTTGTATGACGGACTGAAATTTTTGAGGCGATTAACTAAAAGTTATTCCATTGAAAAATCTGTCAACTCATGGTTACGTTTAAAAATATCTATAATAATTAACATCATTTCCTTATCAATATTACAAAACTGTTGTTAATTTTCTGCGATGGTCACATTTGATCAAATTAAGTTTTCAAATTGGTTTTCTAAGCACGCAATTTTATATTACTTATGTTAAGTCAGTTGTAAATATTGATTTTAAAATTGACGTAAATGTGAGATTTTAAGTAATCGCAAAAGAATGATAACATATAAGATCAGAAAAAAATTAAGAGAATATTGAAATTAATATAGTATTACCAAAATACTCAAACCCCCGCATATTCCTGTAGTATCCAAGCCACTTTCCATCCATATCATTTGTCATGTTCTGATCCTCCTTTACAGTAAAGATTTCACCATCATAAGTAAACTCCGGTGTTGCTAACGAGCAATTGTCTTTTGCTTTGTCCCATGTCATTAATTCATTGTAGGGTACTGTAAATAAGAATGACTGTATTTACGGAGCATGTACCTACTTTAGACTTTTGAGACTGCGATGATAGTCAAATATATAAGGCTTGATACAAAAAACGTGTGTGTATGTTATATAAGTTATTCCTGCAACCATTTACAAGCTATTATGGATTTGACGCCAGTTCCAATCACATAATAATTTTAATTTTTAATTATGAATTTAGAACAAGTGAGATACTAACCATCTGAAAAAATGCACTGAATATGAAACAAAAACGATAAAAGTAGCAAACTCCAAACAATATGGTATTTTAAAATACAAAATCACTATAACTTTACTCATTGCCAAAACGCAAAATATAATAATAGCTGAAATATTAGATAATAACCTTTTGGTAAATTGTTACAGAACAACAATTTGAAAGCAACTTTTGAAAAATATAAATATCAAAGTTTTAAGTTAAATTGGCCTTTTAACTAAAACATCTCTTCCGAATCTGCCCAACTTCAATCGCCCATCTTATCGATTTTAGTACACAATTTAAAAAAAAAACAAAAACATTTATTTTCCTTTTAAACGAGTCAGTATTTTTAAAGTCGTGATCTGCATTGTTAAAAAAATGTTTTTATACGCGAATACACAATCAGTAGTCACCAGCTACTATGAGATATATCATGTTTCAAATCGGACAATCGGTGGTTTTAACCTACATCACTTCTTATGAATAACAAGACAGATTTTATTGATAAAACTTGCAAAATATATTATCAACTACAAACAATAAAGTTATAAATAGCACATAATTTTGTTGGTAAAATTTCACCCGGAAGGAGCCTACAAACCTGTGTGTTATTTCTTTATTACCCTTTTATTACTCGAGACAAATACTTCAATGATCTGAACATTTTCAACTAGATCTAAATGTATAAAAATTTGTATGTTTAAATCATCTGCTTGTTTCATTTTGATGAATATTCCTCTGCAATAACTTCCGTTGCTAACGGATGTTTACTTTTTGACTATTCAAAGACCTGGAAAGCAGGTTTGGTTACAAACAACCAAATTTCTGTTGCTTATTGTCACTCTGATGATGACCCTAAGTTCTAAAAAATAGAGACTGAATCGAAAATCCAATGGCGGCCATTTTGTGTTCTAGAAATGCTTCACATGTTACCTGTTTAACAGTACAATTCTATATTCACATACAACACTTGAATTAACAATAATTATAATTATAATTACATTACATGTACAACAGCCATTCAACCATCTATCGGCTATTCTTTAGGAAACGCTATCATCACATGATACTACTGACATGATTTTTATCAAGATGTTTTATAAGTCATACGCTTAGTTGCATGATTTTATGAACAACGTATATGTCAATGGTTACATATTTTTACTAGTTTCATTCAACACATCATTGTATAAGTATGAAATATTGCTAATGACAGAAATAAGAACTTCAAAAGCTAGTCATCAATTTATTCGAGGTATATTTCTTAACATCATTTTCTCATGCTGACAATCATTTGTCACTAGACTATGATAAATGATTTACTCCATCACGTGGTTATTTTTCTTTGCCTCGAAAACACAAAGGGACGACAAAACATTTCCTGAACATTGAATAGTTTATTATAATAATGAAAAACCTAAAACGGTCTACCTTTATAAAACATGTACACGCAATTCTTTTTTACATATGTTATTTACATAATTATTTAATATAATATGTTTGATACGCAACTAAATAGGTTAACTGAATAGTTATAATTACCTGTAGCAACACATATCCGAAAAAGAAGCAACAAAATCAATTGTTTGACACCTGACATTCCTACTGTATTAGGCTGTCTATCAGGATAACATTGACGAAGATAAACACACCCGGAAGTATTGCTATCATATAACGCGGTATAAAATTTAATTTCATGTATTTAAAGTATCATTGCTTAAGAGGAATTATAACCGTATAATTGGTTTTACAATCGGCTAAAATTTAATTCGAAACAGCCATTTTAAGTAATTGTACAAAATTGCAAAATCATAAAGTGTATGTTGATTGAACTGGTTGTCATTTGATTGTACATGTATTGCTATATTTCAAATTTTGAAAAAAAAATAGAAAGTAAACATGAGGTAGTATTTGTTGAGGAATCATAACTTGCATGTAAATGTTAACATGTTATACGCAACAATAATGCTTGCGGAACAAATTTTTCTCTGGTTTATAGCACATCTTATCTATACAAGTACAAGAGTACATGGACTATATTATTTATTTCAGCATTTATCAAACATATAACATAAGCATTATTCAAAACGAAAACAGACATGCATTTTGTAAGACTTTTGATTGTTCCAATGACTAGCTAACAAAAAACATACAAACGATAAACAACTTACAAAAGGTAATAATATACATATATCATACACGCAGTTTGTGCCTTAGCGAATTTACCATGATATGTTCTTGTATAAAAAATGTTTGTAAATGGAACGATAACTGTAACGTCGTATCGAAATTAACTTTTTAGAAAAAAATGATAGACAGTAAGTTTAAATGATTCAAATCATCTTTTGTTATTCCGATATCCTAATTTGGTAATATAAAAAAAAACATAAAACCGACAGGTAAACAGATTAGTTGCGGAACGCTAAGGATTCTAAAACGTGGGTTTGAATACCTGTAACTTTATTCTAAAATGAGTAATGATAGATAACCTTAGAACTAATGCCTTTAACTGAAACCTGATTACTTTATGCACGTGAAGATGGCCATTTAAGGTCAGTGAAGACAATCCTACGAGGGGTTTATTTGAAAATCGGCTCCGAAATTAATCGCAAATGAAGTAGAAGACGGATAGAATGGAATATGGATATAATATTCACGTTTTTTTAAACTTCGTACAGATAAACGATTCGCCTATTTAGACGTGCTTCCTTGTTTACCGCATTTGTATGTAAACTCTTTATCTTTTTAAATTCATTCTACACAGACCAATACAACGAGTCTAGCGTAGTTGTGAGGAGTTAGGAAAGTTTCCGCTTTCAGTTGTGAAACGATGCTGGAATCATGTTTGTTTTGGATTTTTCTGTGGGTTGCTTCTGTTAATGGTATTTAATTACTTAATTAATTGTAATTATATATATTTTGCCTGTTAGCCCTGTCTCTTTTTTACGTGTAGTTATTTAAATCAATAACTTTTTTTCAAAATACTAACAGTTTACTGAAATGACAGACAGCATCGAGTACTGAGTTATTTACAGGTATGTTTTATTCCTTTGGTGTTATATTAGATTTTTGTACAGAAATGATTACCGGTAAGGAAGTTTAAATGACAATTAAATGTAAGCATATAAGATGATTTTTTCATATTTTTAGGTTTTTTACTTTATGTGTTTATCAAATAGTTTTCTGTTATTCATATACTAGATTCCTGATGTACTATTATGTTTATTTATTTTCTATGCAAGCGAACAGAAGTAATGATAGTAAGATATTCCATCACACTCGCTTTAAACTTTTTATTCAAGTAAGTTCTATATAGCATACGATAACTATTCACTACACTGTTCAATTGCGCAGTTGTATACTTTTGAAAAACATATAATATACACGAAATATCATCTCCAAAATTTATCAAAATTTCTAAAATAAATAATACTATGTAAAAAATTCCCTAGATTCATTTTGGTTCGGAACTTGGAACTATTTTGGTGTACATGTTTCTTCAATATTAGGCAAACAGATTACAGCATAGCACTGTAAGCTATACTACAAGTTAAATTGCAAACGCCATAGTGAATAAAGTGACTATCGTGACCCGTCAACCCGGAAGAAAAATAGGACCTTGACTACGACCGACCTAGATAAAATATTTGTCCTGCGCAGGACAGTCAGATTGTGAAACGTCTGTGTTAGTCTATAGCCCCGCTATACATCGGTACAGCTAAAAGTAGCAGGATTCCTCTGATCTATCTAGAAACTTTTATACTTTTGAATGTCTCTGCAAAATGCATATTGTTGTATTTTGCACGGTTTATGCAATATTTTTTTCTACCATGCTTTAAACATGGATAAATTTAACATCGCATATTAGATTGATTACTCGAAATCTAACAAGATATGTTTGTAAAACATGTATGCCCCCTATCAGCAGCCAATTAGTCATGTGATAAGGTTATTATGCATGACTTCTGACCCAGTGATCAAACAATTAATAAGGGTTATCAAGTATCTACTGGTCATGACCTTAACCTTTGACCCCTTGACCCAAAACTCAATAGGGATCATCTGCTGGTCACGACCAATCATCATACAAAGTTTGAAGTTCCTTGGCCTAAGCGTTTTTAGTTAATTGATCAGAAACCGTTTTTACCTACAAGGTCAATGTGACCTTGACCTTTGACCCCTTGACCCCAAAATCAATAGGTCATCTGCTGGTCATGACCAATCACCATACCAAGTTTGAAGTTCCTAGGCCTAAGGGTTCTTTAGTTATTGATCGGAAACCGTTTTAACATACAAGGTCAATGTGACCTTGCCCTTTGACCCCTTAACCCCAATATCAATAGGGGTCATCTGCTGGTCATGACCAATCACCATACCAAGTTTGAAGTTCCTAGGCCTAAGGGTTCTTTAGTTATTGATCGGAAACCATTTTTACCTAAGAGGTCAATGTGACCTTGACCTTTGACCCCTTGACCCCAAAATCAATAGGGGTCATCTACTGATCATGACCAATCACCATATCAAGTTTGAAGTCCCTAGGCCTAAGGGTTCTTTCGTTATTGATCGGAAACCTTTTTTACCTACAAGGTCAATGTGACTTTGACCTTTGACCCCTTAATCCCAAAATCAATAGGGGTCATCTGCTGGTCATAACCAATCACCATACCAAGTTTGAAGTTCCTAGGCCTACGGGTTCTTTTGTTATTGATCAGAAACCGTTTTTACCCAAGAGGTCAATGTGACCTTGACATTTGACCCCTTGACCCCAAAATCAATAGGGGTCATCTACTGATCATGACCAATCACCATACCAAGTTTGAAGTTCCTAGGCCTTAAGGTTCTTTAGTTATTGATCAGAAACCGTTTTTGCTTACAAGGTCAATGTGACCTTGACCTTTGACCCCTTGACCCCAAAATCAATAGGGGTCATCTACTGGTCATGACCAATCACCATACCAAGTTTGAAGTTCCTAGGCCTAAGGGTTCTTTAGTTATCACTCGGAAACCATTTGGTCTACGGACCGACGGACCGACGGACCGACGGACCGACAAGTGCAAAGCAATATACCCCCTTTTCTTCGAAATGGGGGCATAATAAGAGATTAATACACGGCGGAATAGGACCGGAAGGTGATTTTCGGCCCGCAAAATGAAAAATGGCCCCAAGGTCTTCAGTCAGAGGCCATTATTCATTTCATAGGCGATTATCACCTTCTGGCACTACTAAGACGTGTATTAATGTCTTTAATACACTTGGAATATCTAATAGTAGCATTTTTTTTAAAAATAATTCTTTGAAATTTCTTTCGATGAAATTCCTGTCTGCATTTCTACTGTTCAGTACACTAACTTCTACAGGGTTGCTTACTTTTTGTATGTTCAAAGTAGATCTACTGTAGAATCTAGAAGCAAGTTTTATTTTCATTTAGTAAGTTTCAATAGTAATTACACTGTATGTACACGAAATACGCTTCAGCTCTCATAATAAATATCATATGACATAGTTCAGATGATATTAATAATACACATTTAAATTGGCACATTTTTCATTATTTTAAAACACAAACACGAGAGGTATTTTACACGTAAGTATACTTGAAATTAAATCACCTTTGATAAGACGAGTTCACAGACACGATATAAACAAGATAACGTCAATCATTCATATATATGATACCGTTGAATTTTTATCAGATATGAACTTATCCATAATTACTTCGGGATCATATGCAATCACACGGCTTGAACCGTCCCTGTAAAAGGTTAATATTTTTTTACGTTTTTACACAAATGTGGCATCTGTTTTATTCATTAATAATGTTTCAAACCTTTTCACAGGTGTCAAAATATATTTAAGACTTGATGGTATGAGATTTTTTATTACTCTTATGGGAATGGTTAAAAAAAGCAAAAGTCTCAGTGACTTGAATCAATATATTGATTGTAAAAGGAAAGTTGTGTAAGGTAAAGAAATCAAATTTTGATAGATGTACCCTTCATTCAATTATGGCTTCTGTTGACAACCAAAAGCAATTCTGGAAGAAAATTAAACATTCAAAACAAACAATATCTTTAAATCAATGGTATGATCATTTCAAATCAGTTTTTCAATCTGATACAAATACCGTTTATGAAAGTAATGCTGTAAGTGATGAATCAATAAGCTATAGTGAAAATGATGTTTTATACAATAACTGTTACAGTGGAGCAGAAAATGAAGTAGAAAACATATTGTTTAATGGTGAAATTACAGATGACGAGATTAAAAATACTATAATTGAGCTGAAACGAAATAAATCAACAGCAGGAGATTTAATACCTGAACATTTTATTCAAACAATGTATTTATTATTACCATATCTGCGTAAACTGTTTAATAGGATATTTTTAAAGTGACGTTATGCCCATCCGAGGGTATATAGTGAGTGAGCGGGTGAAGATAAAAATGAGTTTTTATTTTGCCATAATTCATTTGAATTTGATAATTAAGTTCGCATAAACAATTAATAATACACAGAACCAAACAAAATTTGTGTAATTATCCATTATAATTTACCTATAACGCTTAGTTTGTAAAAAGAGTGGGACAGTCTTGGCAGATTTATAATTTTATCCTAAACATTTTCTAATATCAACTGTTGGTCAAACACCATTTTGACAATCAATCTATTGAAATATAAAGTCATTTCAGCTCAATTTGACTATGAAATTATGAGCATAATGTCACTTTAAGCGGTTTGTTTCCTGAAAAGTGGTCTCTTTCAGTACTTGTTCTTATCCATAAAAAAGGCCAACTAATAACCCTGATAATTATAGGGGAATACTTTTGTTAAAAATTTGTAGTAAAATATAAATTAGAGTTTTAAACAAACGATTAACATTTTTTACAAGTGCATATGACAGATTAACAGAAGCACAAGCAGGATTTCGTTCTTTGTATTCTACTATAGATAATGGTTTTATACTCTATTCTATTGCAAATAAGTTTTTATGTCAAAAAAGTAGAAAGTTGTATGTGGCTTTTATTGATTTTAAAAAGGCCTTTGACAGCATTTACAGATCAAAGTTGTATTTAGTTTTACATCATCAAGGCATTAACGGTAACCTTTTAAGGGCAATAAAAGGTATCTATAATTCTGTCAAAGCTTGTGTCAGAATGGATTCTAAACATAGTGAAATTTTTTGAGTGTCCTCTTGGGTTACGTCAGGGCTGTAATCTAAGCCCGGTACTTTTTTCTCTATTTATAAATGAACTATATGATGCTATAGCAACCACTGGTATTGCTGGAATAAAGCTGACACCAGATACAGTACAAAATTTACTTTAACTATTTGCTGATGATGTTGCTTTGACTGCTGATACTGTAAATGGGTTACAGCAACAATTAAATATTTTGTCAAAATATTGTAAAGATTGGAAATTATCTGTTAATATAGAAAAGTCTAAGATTTTGGTCTTTAGAAAAGGTGGCTACTTATCTCGTCATGAAAATTGGACATATAATAACAACCAATTACAATGTGTTAATGGATTTTCCTATGTTGGATTATATTTTAGTAGTAAGCTATCGATGCAAAAGATGGATGAGTACAGTGCTAATAAAGCTAAGAGAGTTTTAGTCTCCTTATTATCATCATTGAATCATTTAATGCCTTTGCCAGCAAATGTATTTTTTAAGTTGTTTGATGCTAAAATTGCCCCAATTCTTTTGTATGGATCGGAAATTTGGGGTCTTGAATATATGTATAATATTGAAAAAATACAGTTGTATGCATGTAAACGATATATGAATGCACCCCTTCGTTCTTGTAATGTTGTAATTGTTGGTGACTGTGGAAGATACCCAATGCATATTTTAAGTAGTATACGCTGTATTAAATTTTGACTAAGAGTTCTTTCTATGCAAGATTATAGATATGTCAAAAAATGTTACCATATGTTGTTGTATTATGACAGTATTGGATATAGAAATTGGGCTTTTAATGTTAAATTGCTTTTATATATCAAATGGTTTTGGTTATATTTGGGAACAGCAGCATGTTTCAAATATAAGGTTATTTTTAAAACAGCTTGATTAAAGGCTTAAAGATCAGTATCTACAAGATTGGTCTACTGAATGTCATTCAAATGCTAAACTTACTTCTTATATTAATTATAAATCAGTGTTTAAGTATGAAAATTACCTTGATATTGTTGACATCAAGAAATTTAGAAATGCTTTAGTAAGTCTTCGGTCATTATCGCACCCTTTAATGATTGAAAAAGGAAGACACATCTATTAGGTATTGATAGAAATCAAAGATTTTGTTTCTTTTGTGAAGACCAGATTAAAAACGATTTTCATTTTATTTTAGTTTGTTCAAACTTATAGTCATCTAAGAGAACATTATATTAACAAAAAATATTATAATAATCCAACTTTGAACAAATTTCATGTATTAACGTCATCCAGAAAAGAACAGACAATAAAATGTTTAGCTATATTTATTTATTATGCTCATCGTTATTGCAGTATTAACATGTTGATTAATTATATATGTCAATTAATTAAAGCAACAATTTTGATTAACTAGATTGAATATTTGATCTCTCTTATTTAAGGGCATATTGGAAATAATGTAACCTTGTTCCTGTTGTTTCTTGTTTTTCTGGTTTCCAGATACAGGAACAGGCAAATAAAATGTCACTCTTTATAATCTTGTATTTATGAAACTACTTACATACTTGTTTATATATGTTAATATGTTGATTACTGTAGATTTTTACCGTATTTGTGATTAATTGTTATAATATGTAAATATGTTTTGTGTTTATTGTGATTTATGAGTCATGCTTGTTATGTTAATTACTGCAGATTTTCAGTTGTTTTGTGATTATGTATTATAATATGTAAATATGTTTTATGTTTATTGTGATTTATGTGCTGGTGGCCTGAATCATCTTAATAAAGAATTGGTTAAACAGAAACTTTAAAGATTAAGAAAAATGCCACAATTGTGATAAAAGTGAGTGATGTTAAAGGGCAAGAATGACATTTAAAATCTTTTTTGTTTCTTTCTTTTTATTATATTTTTATCTTCAGATACTGTATACACCGACCCTGATACTTATTTAAAATTTTAAATATAATTATTAGAAAAACATTTCGAGATTGAAAAGAACACATGTGTATATTCATGTAATAGAATACAATCTAGCTAACCGTATTTTACAGTTAAATATATTATACTCATGTTATTTTTTGCATTGCAGTTTCAGCTAATTATGTACTATCAAACGAAACGTTTACGTGGCAAGATGCAAGGGGAAAAGGCAATTTGGCAGCGCCAAAGATACATGTAAATAATTCATCAATTATTGTTGAAGAAGTTTCTAACCTTAATGAAAATGAAGAAGCATGGGTTGGATATTACATGAAAGAAACAGCATTTGCGTACATTGGTAATGACTTATTGACTAATTATAATTCATATTAGCAAGAAATTTGAGTGCAAGATGATTCTTTCATTATTTGTTATTTCATTGCAGCTATTTTCTTTCTAAATTGGAATTGTTTGACTTTGAAAATGCAAAAATAAATAAACAGTTGTTAGTATTGCAAATAAGATTTGGATCAACAAAGTGTTCGTAATTCGTAATGATTAGTGAATAAATTAGCATTTGCATTCACATTGTATCTTTTTTTTAAAATATTTGCCTGTAAGCAATATCATAATAACAACAAACAATTTAGTTTAGCTTAGAAAAAATGAACAAATTTTAAACTCGTAATAGCTGATATTAAAGACAATTGTGCCTTTCAAAATTCATTTTAAGTTGCGCCCATTGTTTTCTCGTTTAGGGCACACGCTTTCAATTATTTGGGGACCATGTGCCGCTTTTCATGGAATGGCACTAACGTGTCACATTGAAAGTTCCATGATAACCGCTTTAATAACATATCTGCGGATGTTTCTAAATTCAAAATTTTGTCAATTCATGGTTTAATCTTGAATTCTGCTTAAGCTGGTGCTAGGCGAGTGGATGGTAGTTAGCACTAAATAATATTGTCCATGAACGGGCTCAATCAAAACGAATCTGTAACATTTTCAATTTTGCCGTTTTGAGTTTTTTTTTGGATTCTTAATTTCTCTATTTTTTTGTTTGTCGTTATAATAACACAAAATCCCTGTTTACAATTCTCAATGTATGTAACCACTCAATGGTCAGTATGTCAGGAAATAAAAGGAAATAAAAAAGATGTCATAGTATTGTTTTTGGTTGTTACCAGCATTTAGCTTTTCTTGTAAGAAATTCCGTTTCTTTGACAAAGGAATGGTCACACATGTAAATAAAATCGATAAGCATACTCCAAGATGCTTATGCTAGTTTAGTAATGTCAAGGTTTATTGCGAAAATGCTCTCATATAATGTTTAAAACATGAATTATTGTTACATATTGCAGGTTGTGGCTCTTTAAGCAATACAGAACCAGATGTTTTATTGCCGGTATTGATGAATTCCCCAGGCATTTGCTTTTCAATGTGTCATAAATCTTATACAAAATATGTCGGGTTAAACAAAGGCAAGGTAATAAACAACATGGTAGCAACAAGTTGAAATAAAAAAAAATCGTCTTGTGTGATGAATAATTTAAATTATTTAAATTTTATTGGGTGAAAAGTTTAGAAATAATGTTTTAATTAATTAGCATAACTATATCATTTATGTTTGTAGCAAATAGATACACCCAAGAGAACGCTTATCATTGTGATTTGATATCGAAATAGTGCTAACTTTACAAAGTGATAAGAAACTGATATCACTTTTTCAGTACAACGTTTAATGCTGATTAAGAATTGAGTGGATCTTTTTGTTTTCTTTGTCGCAGTGTATTTGTTTAAACGAAAAACATAGCAAGAACATAAATCTGCCTAAATGTGATATTTCACCCAATGGAACTTGGGTAGCTGGTGGACGAGATGATTATATGTCCATATATGAAAGGATGAAAACGGGTATCATGATAGCTTAAAATGTTTTACCTTTGTTGCAATGTACTTATTAGCATTTTAAAGCATCATTATTGTTTCAATATTTTTATAGGAGAATGAATATTTTTATAGGAGAATGAACGTTTAATTTTCCTTGTGTAATTTTGCTTGAGATGTAAATATCATTAATTGTAAAAAAAGCTACTTTTCCAAGTATTAACCAGCAATTTTGGACTAATCACGTCAGAGGGAACACAAATCTTTGTTGTTTTTTTCTTTTTCTTTTTGTTGTTTAGTTTAGAATTGACCAATAGCGATAAAAAATATAAATAGTTCAGTGATTGTATATATCATAACTGTGCCGTGTCCCTTTCAGATACTGTTGTAATAGGCAGCGAGAACAACGGCAACTGTCTTGCTTATGAAAAAAACACAAAAGGTGTATGGAGTATGTGCAGCAAATCGTATAAAGTTTTATGTACGAAAGGTATATAATATTTTATGATATGTAGAATAAAGTTACTTTTCGCGTGTTGAGTTAAAAAAAGATGCATCAGTTAGTTTTTATAGGTGGTGAACATGTTCATAATATATATTTCAAAATTCATGACGATAATCACCGCTGTGGGTTCGAATCCCGACAGGGACTTTGGACTTTTTCATGTTAGGAAGCTATCCAGCTAGCTTACGGAACGTCGGTGGTTCTACCCAGGTGCCCGTTCGTGTCTGAAATAGTGCACGGAAGGGCACCTGAGGTCTTCATCCACCAGTAAAGCTTGAACGTCGCCGTTTGACTAATACTGTGTCGGTGTTATGTGAAACCCAATTAACAACAAACAAACATTACGATAATCAACTTGTCAATTATATCATTTAACACTTAGAGACTGTTTAGTTCAAATATATCATATATGCTTGTATGATCGATGGAAACCCGACATTAAACATTTCTATCTGTTTTTTGCTTTTCCTGATACACAAACAATCTTCCCCCTGAAAACACTCTATAAACAAGGTACACATAATCGTAAACAGTAAAGATTTTCTATTATCGAAGCTTCAACCCCTGTATGCAGGGCTACGTGTTCTCATATTATCAGGGACTTTGATTCTAAGGCTCGTCGATATGTAATGTATATATTCTACAATCACTTTAAATAATTAGTGTCGGTTTAACACAATTAACGCTATGATAGATAATTTGATTTAATAAATCTCAATTATAGTACGATTATAAAGTTAATGTATAAAAAATAGGACAATGTGTGATCCCTCGGAAGCATTAATCACAACAATATTTCATGATATTACAGACTCAGGGTTGATTGAGTATGTACATGAGGAATAATGAAAAGTGCAACATTCCTCACGTCCACCCCCACCCCACCCTAGAAAAAGCACTGACTTAACGGTACTCAATTGTAACACTTAAAAGTGTTGGAATCAATGATACCAATGGACCAGAAAAATATCACAACACTGAAATAAAATGTTGAAACACTTTTCTTTGTAATTTCAAAAAAAAATATTTTAAATTCTTTTGCTGCACTTCATTTTTGATATTGACATAGAGATAAGCGCACCAAAGTGTTCTGGAATAATGATGCAAACCTAGAGTGCCGATTCTATTAGTTGTAGTCACCTCCCCTATCCCCGAACGCGAAAAAAAACGGATGATTACTGAAACGGGGATGATTAAAGTAACAGGAAACGAACTAATGTTTCCTTTTAAAAGATTTAATGTCTCTAACATGGTATTCATTACGTTTTACTTAAACACAGTCGACATGTCATTTATTAATATCTATTTTGTGACAGGCCAGACTACTATATCAGTTGTTCCTTTGTTATGTTTTTATTTGAGGCAATACAGAGTGTGTCCAACAGGGTTATTTTACTTTCTTTACAGAATAGATATAAGAATACAAAGAATTACATTCTTTTCTAATGAGAATGTATTGTAAATCTGTTTCAATAAGTCTTGAGTTTCATCGACAAAATTAAATTAACTCTTTTAATATTCAAAATTGGCAGACGACAATAGATTAAGTGTTACTTGACTTTTCTTATTTCATCAATTTTAAATCAAGTGTCCAATATGTTGACAATACAAGTGCGTTGAATGGTTGGTTGGTTTACATGAACTTGTGAGACAACTGAGAACATGTTGTAGAGATGAAAAACAGATTTTGCTGAGATACAAAATGTCTGGTCAGGACAGTTTACCTTTAAGCAAACAATTTTACTTTCCTCATAATTTTCAGATCCTAATTTATCCAATGTTGTATTTGAGGATGTAAGATATCTTGGTTGGAACATTTATGTGCAAAAATGTTTTGAATTTCAACGTTTCCCGATTACCTATAATGACACGTTGAGTGAAGAAGTGAATCAAATTACTGCTGAATTATGGAAGAATATTATACGTAGTGATGTGATATTCAAATATAATAGTAAGTTTTTCATTTGGATCACAAATTAAGAATCGATAAAAAGTAAATGCATAACGGTGATCTAGATGTGCACTATATCCCTATGCTTGAAAGCTATCAAGTGAGTCGTTTGCAAGATAATTCTTCCGTTTCTCAACTTACAAACATTTCTTCCATACGGCCACACCAAAGCCGAAGCCAAAAAAATTATCATTTCATACAAAATATGATAAGCAAGATCAACAAGGAAAGGCGGCGTTCAATGAACGCAACCCCCATATGACCAAGCAACAAGAACCCAATGGCAAGGAGCCCAGGCGGACCCCAAACATAAAAAGGACAGGGCAAAGACACGTTAATCATTAAATGATAAATAATTTGTAACTGGTTAGGAATTCAAAGAAAATAATAATAGGCCCACAAAGGGGAAGGGGACAGGAGACCGGGGGAAGGGGGGGAGGTTAATCAAAGAAATAAAAACTAGAGGCAATGGGGAAGATACTTACCGTAGACGAGAAAACAACAAGGGACACAAGCAAAAGTGTCACCAAAAACAGTATGAAACAACATAGACATACATCTGAGGAACACAGTGGGGCGCCGCCTTGGAACGGTCAGCAGCATAATAATGACTGCTGGGGAGTTTAAACCGGTTAATGGTGCACCATGTTCCTATAAACGAGACAGTGTAAATAAAATGAATCCCCGCCAAGTGAAATTCTAACAGTTGTCATGGTTACAAAAGGTTAAATAAGTAAAACACTAAAATGATCATGTAGAAACATATAAAAGTAAACCAAACGACCATAACAAAAGTACTCAATGTCCTAAAGGAAGACAGAGCAGCAAGAAAATCACCTACAAGGGCCCGACGAAGCAAGGCAGAAGACGAACATTAAGACAATTCAGTCCCAAAGGGCTTTACGAACTATCCATCATAGAGTCTCCCACTTGGTCCGTCAGATGCAATCAAAAGAGGAAAGCGTAGTGTCCAACTGTAAAAGGGTTGAACACTAAACATGCAGTATGTCTTAAAATAGTAGGGTCATAACCTCTTTTAATAAAACGTTTAATGATTTTAGCAAAAACAGCAGAAAAATTACCATGACCCAAAATCTTACGAAGTTTGTAAATCACTGTAAGAATAGTGCACATCTGGATCTTTGCATATGTTTGTAATATATCAATTATCTTTGAATATGATACTCGTATTTGTGCATTTCACCAATTGTGATAAGACATAATTGTTATTATCTTAACAGACTGATTTAACATATAACAGATAAATGTACTTTTTGGATATAAGTGCTCATGGATCTTGAAATATGTTTTATACACTACTGATGATTAAAAAACAATACGCAGACATATGGTGTAAAAAAACTGACATTTGTAGAAAAAAAATACAACCAAACATTATGCTGGCAAACTTTGAATTTTGTGCGTTTTTTGTTTGTGCGTGTTTTCCTTTCTTTTTTATTATTAGATACTTTCAAAAGTCAAATTCAACGAAGTAACTTTAAAGGGTATGGATATGTTACTAAACATGGGAACATTACAACTCTTTCATTTACCTTGAACAGTACAAGTAAGTAAGTAAGTAAGTAAGTAAGTAAATTTTATTATAGTGACATTGTGTTATGTACAATATAATAAACATACATATAACAAATTACAACACCCGGCCACGTTGGGCCTATAAGTCACTTTAAACTATATACAATTCATATAAATGATTCACAATAAAACATGTAAAGCATAGAAAAATTAATTAATCGGAAATACAGTGGTCAATCATCAAAATTCCATATAAACAAGCAAAGCATATCAAAATTTCAAAAGCTATAAATTCTAAACAATGTTAAGATATTATTATATTTCTTGTTATTTTCAAATATGTCTGGTGATATTTTAACATGATTCAATACACTCAAGTAAATTTTTATTATGTAAAACATCAGGTCATTTATAAAGATATAACCTTCTTCTTTTCATACTTTCTACAATAAACTTTGCAGCGCTAACATATTGATTTTGTATCACATAACTTAGTTTTTGAATATCAGACATGTTGTCAAAGTCACTGCTACTCTCTTTACATTTAGAAATCAAATTAACACGTAAATCGTTGTATCTAGAGCATTTCAATATAAAGTGAGTTTCATCCTCAACAACATTGTCAGTACAAAGAGTGCATATTCTTTCATCAACACGTAATCCCACGTATCGTCCTGTTTCTAGTTTGAGCGGAAGAATACGCATCTTAATTGAGCTAAATGGGACCTTTCTGCTTGAGTTAAGGAAGACATGAGATATTTTTCTGTTTCATAGTCTTGTTTGAATGTAACATATGTTCTCAGCTTTGCCACATTTGTAACATTGTCAGACCAATTTGATTTGTATAGTAAAAGTAAAGAGTCTTCAATATTCTTTAAATCAACCGGAAGTTTGTTGTCATACAAATGTGACATATTTACTTGTTGTAGAATATGCTTAACATCTGAACACCATGTATTTCCAACAGAAGTATAATCATACAAAAACACTTTCTTTGTGAGTCTATCATCACCCATATGTACAAGTCTATTCCATAGTCTCAGTACATTAACCCAACGTCTATGCTGAGCACAAATCCACCCCATATCACCAGTAATTGCTAGTATCGGAGCAAATCTATGTACACCCATAAAATATCTAATTGCTCTATGCTGAGTAATATCTAGTTTCTTGTAGTTTTTGAAACCCCATATTGAAGAACAATAATCAGTTACAGGCACAACACAAGAGTAATACATTTTTGTATATGTTTTAAAGCCAATATATTTATGATTCTGAATTTTAGATATAATTGCACCTAGTGCTCGACCACCTGATTTACAAAGAATATCAGCAGAGTACAAAAAATCTAAATGTAAAACACCCAAATACTTATAAGTAGATGTATACATAATATCCGAAGCACCTATGTGAAATGTAAAATTACTTTGACTTTTTCCTTTGCATCTAAAATGAATAACATTTGATTTCGACTCATTAATTTTTAGTCGCCATTTTCTGCACCAATCATTAATATAGTTTAACATATCCTGCATATCTCTTTCATTTTCTGATAATAATAAAATATCGTCAGCATATAATAAACAACATATAATATCATCATTAAACTTAACACCTTTGTTAAGACGATTTAAGCCTTCAACAAGATCATTTATGAAGTATGCGAAAATTGTCGGAGAACTGCTGTCTCCCTGTCGGACACCTGACACAGTTGGGAACCAGTCTGTTAGCATACCGTTAAGTTTAACACACGATGATGTGTCCGTTAGAATTGACTTAATAGAATTATAGAATTTACCATTAATATTTTTTGACAGAAGTTTGTATAAAAGAATATTTCTATCAACAAAGTCAAATGCTTTCTGTATATCAATGAACGTTCCAAAAGTATCTTGTTTGTCTATAAGTCTATTTCTAATAATGGTACAAGCTGTATATACATGTTCCTCACATGACCTTTTAGAACGAAAACCGTTTTGTTCATCAGCAAGTAGATTTTGCTCTTCTAAGTAAGTTTTTAATCTATTATTTAATAATGCTGAATATAGTTTGCTAACAACTGACAGCAGACTAATACCTCTATAGTTTAGTGGTACACGTTTGTCTTTGGTATTGTCTTTTGGTATCGGGGAAATTAATGCTTTTCGCCATATACTTGGGATGATTCCTGTTTCAAAGCATAAACTAAACAATGAAAATAAAACATCGATTATGATGGGAAACTTTAAAACTTCATACGGTAATTTATCGTATCCCGCACTTTTCCCATTTTTCGCACTATTAACAATTTTTTCTATTTCAGACCGTCGTATAGGGAAATTCAACAGCTGATTTTCTTCAAAAAGGGGGTCTAACATTCGATCTTCTAAGAAACACTTCTCATTTAAAATCTGCTCGTAGAATTCCTTGTCGAAATTTTCATCGGCTTCGTTAAAGTTATAAAGACTTTCAAATTCACTTGACCATTTATTGAAAACAAAATCACAGTCTTTAGTCACATTCCCATCTGCATCATAAACCTCCATAGGTATAGAACTTTTATTTTTTGGACCGAGATTTTTTATATGATCCCAGAATTCCCTTGGATTGTCTGTGCACGTGCACTCAATATCAATCGAGAGAGACCTCTTATGACTCCTTTCAGCATGACGCAACTGTTTATCAAAAGCCTTTCTACAATTTATATACTCATTTTGAAGGCGTAATCTGGTTCGACGATCACCGTGAAATGTTACGTATTCTCTCTCAGACTGACGTACACGTTGCCAGAGGGCCTCTATATTATCATTCCAATAAGGCTTAAATGTTTTATACCTTTTTCGTGTTTTCTTAGAACAGTCAAATGACGGAATATGAGCATTCATCTCTTTTATTAACGTTTTACAAAATTGATCATAAATGTTATCTATATTTTCTTGATTTTCTCTACACAACTCAATATTTCTTATTAGACCAATGAAAGCTGTTTTCGCCAATTGGGATGTTAAAAAATCTTCAGGAATTCTTTTCAATTTAAAAATTTTGGTATTGAACTGCGACCGCAAACTGTTCGTTTTATCATCTTCAATTAAAACTGTTTTGTAATTGTAAGTAAAACGTAACATATAGTGATCGGGAAGTTTACTGCGTGACCCTATCAGCGATTGCAACTTAAATTTGTCTACTATCGACTCCACTGAAATAACTTCAAAATTCTCACACGCTTTCAAACAGTCATGTGGAACGCATATATAATCAACAACTGATTTACCTTTACTTGATACGGACGTAAAATTATCATTGTCTTTACAAAAACGGCCATTTAATACACACATTTTTGAATCAAGAAGAAATTCTATAAAGGTATTTCCGTGTTGATTAACAGTTTTGTCGATAATCGATCTTCCAGGAATTCCATCCACATTCGAAATTATATCTGAAATTTCCCCGATTCTTGCATTGACGTCACCGCAAACAAATATTGCGTCACTCTCTGATAACAGGTAAACTTGACCAAGCAGATGTGCAAAAAAAGTCCGTAGCATTACGTCCCCATGGCGAGTTTTCTGGTAATATATTACAATTGAGTGGTCAGCAGTCTTTGACGTAAATGAAATCCCTAATATGCCGTCATAGGCCTTATCAATGACGTCAACTTCAAATTCATTGATCAGATTATTTTTAATAAACATTCCTACACCCCCGGAACCTTTTGGTGCATTTACGTGAATTGATTTTCTGTTGTGTGCATAAAATCGATAACCTTCAACATTTATGGTTTGATTGTTTTTCAAATGGGTTTCATTAACACAAATGACATCTGATTCAGTGTGAGCAATTAAATTAGATCTCAAAACGTGATTTGATTCCGTCCAGCCAGCTACATTTAACTGTGATATCGATATGGATTGTTCAGTCAACCGGGCGTTGGATTAACTGCCGCCACTATCTGAACGACCGCTACTATTTTGATGCAGGGAATCTTTTTTCACTATACGACCATTGCCAGTTACTCTAAACTGATTCCCGTTTGGAATTTGAGACAATAATGTTTTAGCATTAAGTTCCAGTATACGTTCGGTATGCGTTTTGCTACCAAAGATGTATACATCTTTGTATGCAGCAACAGATTTTAGCTTTTTCTTTGCACGTAAAACATCAATTTTCTGGTCAGCATTCTCAAATGCAATTTTAAGTAACGGTGGTTTCCCAGTATGTCTGTCGGTACATCTACTTGCATCTGTGATTTTAACGGGACTCGATATGTCCGTGCCTAGAGCAGAGATCAAATCGTTTGCGTCATCTAACGGCGATTTCCCCAGGCGTTCCCGTAGGCGTCCAGTACAAAGAAACCATATTTTCTTCAAACACGTAAGTTTATAGTTATCATAGATTTCTTTCATTCAAACATTTTAATTAGCGTCTTGCTGAAAGCATTATCTAATATTACACATTGTTAAATTATTCAATAACAATAAAAAAATCAACGTATGTGACGTTAAATGAAACCTCGTTTATAGGACGATGGTGGAGCGAAGAGTGAGGTTTGGTCACCAATGATCGGTTAAACCTACCTAGCAATGCTTATGTTGCTGACAATTCCGCGCCCTTCTGTATTCCATAGATGTATGTCTTTGTTGTTTTAAACTTTTTTTGGTGACACTTGTGTTTGTGACCCTTGATGTTTTCTCGTCTTTGGTAAGTATCTTCCCTTTTGCCCCTACTTTTTTTTTTAAATTTTGGTCCCTCCCCCTTTCCCGTACTTCAAGTTCCCTTCCCATGTGCCTTTTACGTTATGGGCCTTTTACTCAATAAATTGTATCTGATTTCCTTGTCGGTTACTATTATTTCCTTTAAAGTATTATTGAGTGAGTATCCTGTCCGTGCTCTACCTTATGCCCTCTTCTTATTTTGTTTGGGGCCCTCATGGGTTCCTGGCCGCTGGTCCTTGTTGTGAATGGGCTTACAATGAAATACAACGTATTTAAATTTAAGTTCATTTTGAATCGTTTTGCATTTTATTTACTTCTAACAATATTTTATAAGAATATCCAAATGATACATTCCTAGCGGTGATTTTGTGTTTAAATGTTGTTGTTTTTTTATTGTTTTTAAATATTTGAGCTTCTTAGAAAAATAAAATGAATATGTGTAGACTAATCCACTTGTAACAATCTTAAATTTAATCATAAGCAAATCATTGATATTTATAATTATATTTCACATGGGAAATTTACCATGAACCATTTTGACAGTTTATTTTCCAAAATGATTGTGTTTTTAACAATTGATGAGGCTAATTTTAAGATTCCTTTCAGCCCATCCAGATGTGGATCAATACATTATGTGTTCAAGAAAAAACATTTTATTTATATTATTTATCCAGTGTCTATTTGGATTTGGAAAACTGAGTTAACATTGGCAATAGTAAAGACTTAATTGCACTTATACGTCTAATGGTGTCAGTTCTCTCTTTTTCCAGTATTGTATAGAATTTTGAATATTTTCAAATTTTCATCAAAGGTCAGAGATATCATTTCATCCAAATTAACATCAATTTTAAAATAAAATTCACGTAGTTTGAATGGTGTACTGACACAGTTCAGTTTCCATTTTGATGGACCATATGCTATACTTTAAAGAACCTATTCAAACAACATGTGTTTTTCTCAAAATTAAATTTTAGACCAGATAATATAGCAAAATGTTCCAAAATATTTAAAGCACTATGTAATGATTTTTCTTAACCATCTGACAATAATGCAGTGTCATCGACTAATTGTGATATTTTTCGTGTATTTTCCCCTATAAACCGGCCTTTAACAAAACCCGTCTGATCCTTGTTTATTAAAATATCTAAAATACAGATTTCAATCTTTTGCTGTAAAACCAGAAGATAGATAATAAATAGTAATTACGAGAGAAATATGTATCCAAGTTTTAGGAATTGTTTAGGTTTTTTATCTTTTGGAATACAAGTAATGATTCCATTTTTTGTATTATTGAATGATTACCTTCATTAAATGCACAGTTTATAGATCAAATAATAAAATGTCTAATTCTATTCGAGAATTCTTAAAAAATGCAGAAAAAACATCAGATCCAAGACTTTTGTCATTTTTTTATATTATTTAAGGTATCTCTAATTTCAGTATATGTTATAAGGCCTTAAAGAGAATCTGAAACATCAGACGCAGCGAGTATTTTACTTCAGATTATCAGTATTATTTTCAAGAAAAAATTGTCTTGTATAGTTCTCTCAAATTTTAATTTTGTACATAATTTCTTGTGATAAGAGTCTGCTTCCTGTAAAATATCTCTCTGATTTTTTATTATTGATCCATCATTTTTCTGTAAAAAAATGGTATAATTTTCTTGTATAATGAAATTTGTCTAAATTACAGAAATAGTTGGTTGGCTTTTTACTGCAATCAGTCCACTTAGCACTAGATCTTACGAAATGGCCTTTCAATTTTTTCTTGCCTTAAAGAAGTCAATTCTTCTTGCAGTTTTAATAATGATTCTTTTTCTGTTTCATAAGATCTACCTTCTAAATTTTCAATATATGTGATTAATACAGTGTGATTAAGACAGTTATATTATTACTTGAGTCCCGTTAGTGCATGGAAAAAGTACAGTGGGGCGCATGAACTCGTCATATGACCTAGACTGATTCGAGGCGATGGAATGTCAAAGCTGAAAAAGGGGGAGACTTACTGTAAAAAAGGTTTTGCAGATTTTCAAACCAAACACAATTATATTTTTAACAACAGGAAATTCTACGTATACGATTACTCCATTTACATCAAGAATAACTGACAGAACATTAACATCTAGTATCCACAATGAGTTTATAAATATAACGAAAGGCTTTCAATCAAATGACGAAATGAGTGCACTCGAAAGTAAGTGACATTTTTAATTCCTAACCGAATTCGAATTTTGTTCAATGGTTTGTTTTGTAAAAAAAAATATACAAATGTAATATTATAAGAAATCATTTAGCTTGTCAGAATACAAAATTGCCATTTTTATTGGAGATTTTATGTGAATACGAAAGTAGATTAATATAATATTATACAAAATTTAAGAAAAGAGCAAGCATTTACAATTTCCTATTTTAAACCATTTCAATGTCATCCTACTTAAGAAACGTTTCAGACGTTTAATTCATTTTTAATGCTTCGACATACTCCTCCATAGGTAAACTTTCTAATAACTGAAAGATAGCCGACTAAGCTCATGTCCACTCTTGTAGCGATGACACTCAAGATGTTTTTCAGTCCTGGGAACAGAAAAAAATCACAGGGTGCCAAGTCAATTGAGGATACGGTGGTTGTTTAATGACAGCCATTTTCTAAAAATGTAATTACAGTACCTTATTTGTGTGCGTTGTCCTGCAAAAAGTCCACGCCTTTCATACAAGTCGAAGGACAAATTTTATTGAAGTTATTTCAGTTTGCCTTTACACGGCATCTTGTTAATATTTATATTAATACTGATATGACTGAACGGCCTCTAGAAACAGAAAACTATATCCGTAGTACTTTTGTCAAATTCCTGTTTGTAGAGGCTGTTCTGGTGGTTCATAAATGCGCAAGGTGACAATCGTTTGCGGTTTAAGGTACAGACTACGTTAGCCTTGAAAAACTCAACCTTTCAACCCGTTTAACAATGTCTGAATAATGCATAGTTAATAACGGATAATTCCAATACAAAATTGTTCAATGGTGGATATATGAACATAATAACGTAAAATAAGAAATTTATATTGAGATCGATACATGTTTTTTAACCTTAAAGTCTGAGGTCGTAAGTCCGAAAAACAATATATTAACGGAAACATAAGTCTTAAATCGTTATATCGTATACCATCATCTTTATCAGAACATGTGTCTTATACATGTACTCGTATTTTCAAAGATCTAAACTAACATCATAATTGAAATATTATTGCATGTTATTACCTATTGAAAATAACATTATTGTAAAATATATTTCAATCGTGTCTGTAAGAATATCAGGACCTAATTACCAATCTAAAGTAAGAATACCAGGAATTAATTACCAATCTAAATTGCGAGAATAATTTTAACAAATTAAAGAGGACATAAATAAATGGATAGCAAGGTATTTTAAAACAATTGTCAATATATCCGTATTGAAGTCCTTAAAACTAACTATCACAATATCTGTTCTTTTGAGTGATGAAAACAATTACAAGAACTATTTTGAATACATGGCACTCAAAAAGAGACAAAGTTAAAAGGGATATACTTATTCAAGACTTTAAATATACAGTATCAAATATAATAGACTTGCTTATTTTCATTTAATTTTTAAATCAAACTAGATAATATTCAAAATACTACACAATAATAAGCATTGGATAATACTTACAAAAATTATCGTGACGTCAACGGTAATAAGCCAATCAGATCTGCGCTTTTATGAACAGTTTTGACATTAAATTATAATACCTTTTGACATGGCTGGACGGTGTGCCATGTGATCATTCAAGTTTTACCATTTGTTATCTTGCAGGTTCCAATGTCAGTATCCTTGTCAGTGTTTCAGTTGTGATTTTACTCATAGTGGCAGCCATTTTTATTGTCATAATAATGTTGAAACGACGGTAAGTAACTCTGTTTTTTCTGTTGCTAGTTTACCTTTGCTTTTGATTACGTATAATATGTCAGATTATTTGTGATAATTTGTTTTAAGAATGCTTTTACAGGTAAAGATGTATAAATAAGTTTTATTAATGTGACGCTTAGCAAAAAATGCTTTTGTTTGTTTATAATCATTAACATATTTTTTTCGGTGTCATAAAAACATAAATGTTATTTCGTTTTTATTTTTCAGAGGCAAAATTCCAAACACGTGTTTTAAAAGTTCTTCTCGGAAAGATTCATTTAAAGAAACGTCCGGTAAGAATCAAGCTGAAAACAATCTGTGTAATCAATCTCTAGGAGCTGAAAATGAACAAATAAACGATTTTAAAGGAAACAATAACGTAACCCTTCATCAAGATCTTGACGTAGACAATAGTAATTATGCACATAATTACTTCATTCTTGAACCCGGCTCCAGAGAATCTCATGCCGATGGTGATATTTCAAATTCCAGGAGAGATGGAAGAGGTGTCAACGACGATTATAATATAATACATTTCAATAAAAAGTTTGGTACCCAATTTGATAACGTTTATGACACCACCGAGAATGCAGCTATAAAAATAAAAGCATTACAGAATGCTGAATGTGTAAAAAAATTATCTGAAACATTAAGCGAAACTGACAAATATAATCACATAACCAGAAACTTTATGAACAATGATAAAACAGACAATATCTATGGTGTACCTGACAAGCAAGAAAACGATTATGATGATGTTAAAAGGGATTATGAAAATAATCTGCGCGTTGAGGTTGACACATACAATCATATGAACGGTACCTATTGAGAGCAAAAAGGCGTTGTTTTGAAACTCTTAAAACTGTTTGCGTTAGTAATTATCAACTAAATCATTTACCTGTTTCAAGCTCAGGTTAACAAAAAAAACCCTTCTCAAAATAAGTAACATTTATTCCGGGAAATTGAATAACTTCAATTTAATAGTGAAATTGATTATTGAACGATTTTGAGCATTTATCTGCTTCTTTTTTTAATAAAACTGCATGCAGGGACACAACTGAGATCCTCCTCCACTAGGAAAACTAGATCTTAAATGTACACGTGTCGGTGTGACTTAATCCTTCGGGATCATTGATGCCAGCACGAATTGAGTACCACTCAAAACGGTGCACTTATTCATCATCCCTCATGTACAGACTCAATCAAACCGAGTCTGCAGTTCTCTTGTAATTTTGTTGTGATAAATGCTCCAAGGGATCACTTTGTTTCCAGAATTTTATACTTCACAACAGCAGGTGTCAAGTGCCGTGTGGCAGCTGTAAGAAGTTGCCCCTTACTTCACTTCGGTGTTGTTATACCGCTCAAGCCGGTGCTAGGGGGCGTGAGGGATGTTGCACTTATTATCTATCCCTCATATACAGACTCAGTCAAACCGAGTCTTCAGTTCTCTTGTAATTTTGTTGTGATTAATGCTTCCGAGAGATCACTTTGTTTCAAGAATTTTAAACAAATAAAAATAAGATATTAACCTATAAAAATTGTTTAAATAAAACAATACTACACTGCAATAATTCATATCAATTTAAGAAAACATAAAATATATTTAATGTAAAGCATTTCAATTGATTTAATGTATATTATCCTCATTCAGAAATTTGGAAATTTAATTTAATAAATCTGTAGTATTTGCTACTCACTTTTCGCAAAGTTGTCTTTACAGTATGTAGAATATCTAGTAAAAGTCTTGGAAGAAAATCGATAAACTTTTAAGGTGATATCAAAGTAATATTTTATGGCCTTTTTAGTTCACATGAACCTTATATGATGTTCAAAACTTGTCGCTTATTGGTTATAATGGCGGTTTGTCAGTTGTCCACTCGTCCGAATAAGATTCTTACGCTCTAAATTTGCATCACTACAATATTGCAATCTCTTGGCTTTTGTTTGTTGATGATATCATGAGTAACAAAGTTTTAATCTCCAAAAGTTCAAGTTCTAAAGGTTTTTAGTTTAGCTGGTACTGCGTAAAGCATGTGTCAACAAAAGTACCAACCCACTGACTAAAACTCAGAAATGGACATCATGGAGACATATACCAATTGACAAAATGAAGCAAACCACAGAGATTAGTAATCAGATTCAGTTTGAACTGCTTCTTCACATTAAAGAGCCTTAAATAATAAGATTTTGTATACTGTTTGAGCTTCCTACTCAATAGGCAAATCTTTTTTATTATTTATTATGTGAATGAATATATATTATATAGAAAAAGGGATTGATGTAAATAAAAAGTGAATTTTGATAATTTTACATCTGAGATATGACTTTGGACCAAATATGTTTATCAGTTCGCACTTTATGAGTTAAATCTCCATAAGATAACTTAAACAAGATTTTGTGAGCTTGTAAAAAGTCTGAAGTGGAAAATATATTATATATCATAAACAGTACATAAGGTTTGTTATCACTGGGTTTAACTTAAAACTAATAAAATTACGACAATACATATTTAAGCATGATGAGCAACCACAGAAATAGAAACTTCGTAACTTATTTTGAAGAGCGTAGCCCTTTTCACAATGTTAAACTTTCAATTATGACCTCAAATTTGTCCTATCGAATATATTTTGAGAGGAAATAATATATTACTAGCAAATTACTTATGCTGCATCAAAAGGTCATTTACATATTTTAGCGATAAGGCACTGTACACATGTATTTTCCATTGCGGTCAGTTCTTGATTATGACCGTTTGATCTATGGTCCGTATATCTGTGTCTTGGTAATCTAATGACTCTTGTGAGGGGCTTAAAATGACAAATGTTATACTTGCTTTTATTCAGTTCATCCCGGTGCATTACACAGGAAGTCAAGAAGGACATCGACAGTCTACGTCTGAGGAAGAAAAATAAAACTATATATAGCTGACGATTTTAATTACCATTTACTGATTACTGATCATAACAGCATATTTAACACCTAAAATCGTCTTGATTAAAAGAAAGCATGATAATTTCTTTTCTGCAAATAACTTATGAGTGTTTTTACTATTGTCTTTTCAATAACACTGATATAGTACCATTCAAAATAATTTGTAAAAATGCAATGGAACTCAATAGGCCTCGCCTGTTTCTTATTTTACCCAGTATTGCATCATATATATGACTGTGTCTCCTTATTCAGTAGAAGTACTTTGTTCTTTTAAAAAAACAAAATCATTTGGACATTCATAAACTTGATAGCATGCTCCGTATACAATATCAGTTTTGATGTGTTTCGACAAATCACAATTAACGTGATGGAGGTTTCCATCACCGCATCTTAATATTCATTTGTTTCACCTTCATTACAAGTATGCTTATTCAGTTCTGCAACAGCCGTTTCCGCTGTGTCGTATTCGTGCTTTCTATGAAAACATGAGCGTTCTTTTACATTTGTTTGGTCATGGATTGCGTGTTCGTGGAATATATCTTAATGAAATAATAATAAACGGTTTTAGTGCATGTTACAATTGATGAAACTTTTTACATTACGCTTCTCCCACATGCACTCAAATTCCAATCTTCAAAGTTATAACTGTTATGAAACTTGAAGTTTCAAGTTATGCTTTAAAGTACGGGTGATAGTCCTGCCTTTAAGACTTGAAAAACAGTTAACAGCTTTTTTGTATCCTTTGTAAGGTGCATGGTTCATATATACTAAATTGTTTAAATGAGCATCATTATCTGTTATGTTTTTACTGCTGGTTGTTAATGAATTTTGTACTTATCAGAAACAGCCGATCTTTTCAAATACCCGCGTTCTCAATGAACGTTTCCTATAATAGGTTCTTAAAGAAACATAAAATTAAATTTTATCTATACAATTGTAAAGATTGACACAAAACGAAATTGATAACAGATGACAATATAACTAATATCATCAGTGTTACCAATTTAACATTTTACAATAAAGGGTTTCATGTTTTATGGCAGGATTTCGTGTTATAAATAAAGACGTTCATGCATTTGGGTCACGCAAGCCAAATATCTACCCTGTGAGTCTTTTCTTGAAAGTTTTACAGACGTTCAATCTCGTTCGGTCGAATAAAAAATGCTGTCGTTGTAGGCAGATACTTATTTTAAATGTTGCCGTCGATGGCAGAAATACCATGAATGTGGCTAGCACTCTGACAGAAAATCAAGGTAAATCTTTTATCAATTCCTCTATTCTTTGTGTCCTTTAAGCCGGAATTGAGACGTTAAACTATCATTTCAAATATTTTCTCAAGATAGAAAACTATTAATGCGATATGTGCATCGAAAAAGCTTTTAAGCCACACGCAGTTACAATACAAAATGTGATGATTCAGTATTGGTATTCATGCCATCGACGGCATAATTTAAAATAAGTATCTGCCTACAACCGCAGCATTTCTTCTTCGACCGGACCAGATTGAACGTCTGTAAAACTGTCAAGAAAAGACTCACGGGGTAGATATTTGGCTTGCGTAACCCCAATGCATGAACGTATATATACATAACACGAAATCCTGTCATTTAGTTAAAACTTGAGATATTTAAAAAAAAAACAGACATTTTCATGGATTTTTTCGAAGCTGTCACTTTTAACCTGCTCAAAATAGTCTAAAAACAGGTAAAACGAGTCGAAATTATCTAATATTATCTCAAGGCAATAGAAATAGTTTCATAGCAATGAAATGGGCCGTATTTGTGTAACATAATAATAGCAAACAAATTTATAATCAACCCGTACCGAGCGGTAACTTTCAGCTATCTGCCACCACTGCAGTGATCTGCCATCACTGGCGCCGGTGATATGGTGGAGATAGGAACGTTTTAGGTATCGGCTATCGCCTCGGTCAATATTAAATTTTCAGTACATATTACATCAAATTTACCAGCTAAATGGTCCAAATTTGAATATTATTCTTCCAAACGATTATATTTGATAAATACCCGACGGCCTAACTGTCATTAACACAATTCAAATCATTATGATTTAATAATTAAATGCAGACAAACTTGAACTTACCATGACACTAGTAAAGGGACTCCACATCTTTTTTATTAGGTTTTTTGACATGAAGTGACTTGGGACATTTCTTCGTGATTAATTGTTCCATTTGACGTAGGTCTTAACCAATTAATCATGTGCAAGATTGCAGCTAATTATATACAAATATACAAAAGCTTTCATAAAACGGTAAATAAAGGAACTTTCTACTGGGATAGGACGTGTTCTGATATTCTATGATTAATCATTAAAACGAGATGTTGAATGCTAGGAAGGAAGAAATTTATATAATCTTTATTTAAATACATAAATACTTACAGGAGTTTCCATAAAACTAAAAGCTTTGTAGATGAAGGTTATTGGCGATGAGCTAGAGCAAATATTTATTTAAAAATCTGTATTTTCAGACAAAATTTGAATAGAAATCATAACTATAAGAAGTCATTTTACAATAATATTGATTTTAAACCAATCAGGTCCATTTGGACCAACATAAAGAAAAGAAATACGTGCATTGAGTTACTGACATGAAAAATAAGATCTCAAAGGATCTCCTTTTTCCCAGATTACAAAATATCCTCAAAAAGATTTAAAAAAACGGTCATTTCGCCATGTTGTTACAATGACTTCTTTTGACAATCCATGCATCATCAAGAACACGACAGTTGACTGTATTCACTTTCCATATTATTTGTTCCCCGTTCGATATTTTCAAGTGCACAATATGTATGCAGATCAGTTATCTCCCTAGATGGCGCTTCAACATTTTGGTATGAAGAACCACTAATTTGGCCGGGCAAAGTGATCTCGTTTGAATTCCTTCTTCCTGTTATAACATGCTCATTAGGACCATGGTGGATGGTAAAACTCAATGTTTGGTCTTTTGTCTTGCAGCATTGAACTAAGTGTATCTTCCTATAAAAAATGTATACGCTTATAACATTTCATGAATCATTAGTTATTCATAACATGCCTTTAACCATTTTTCATGGTTTATTTTAAAACCATAAAAACTAATTCATTATATCTCTAATAATTAGTAGTTATAGGGCTACATCCAAACAGAACGTATGTGTTTTTTTTTAATTTATCACTATATGCTTTAAGCATGTTAATGTTGTTTATAATGTAAGTATTAAACTTTAAACTAGACATGTGTCAATAGGACACGGATGCCCCCGCAACATGAAGTTTAAATTGGAAATATTGGCGTTCTCTAAACTGCATTTAATTCAGATTGCTATGACCTTTACCTTTTACTAACTTATATAGGTCTTTCATGAATCACATCGTTTACTGATAGAAGAAATAGGCCGCACAACAGCACGTAAAAACATGATAGTATTAAAATCATTAAGGTTATCCCTAGCTTTAACATTGTTATTTAACTTAGAAATCTAAATTTTGCACGTGGCACATTGTAATCTAATGAAGATTGTTTTTTTTATTTATTATCTTTTTTGAAATTGCGAAATGCCTGTAAGTTTTGGAGCAGTTACAAATTAAACTGCACAAGACTATTTGACAAAAATATTAAGTTCTCACCTTAAACCTTACTTTTGCATACGAATCAGTGTTTATGTCCTCAAGGGCGTTAAAGTGTATTGATATAAAACAATGTGTACTGTCTACTTATTAAGATCATGTCAATATAATTTTTAAATTCCACCATGCATGCAGACATTACGGACCTGAAAGGACCTTTAACTGAGCTATTGACTATATAAAAAAAATCACTAAATGTAATCCCCTGCAGTGATCTTGACATAAGACCAGGGTTTTGCACGCTAAATATTGTATTCTGATGGTGGTTATTTGTATTGATGCAATGGTTATGAACGGGGCATGAAGTACACTTCTTCGAACACAAACACAGAGGCACGCACACACACGAACAGATGAAAAATTATGTGCCGCGAGCCCTTTTTATGTTGAAGAGACACAAAAATAATGTATGTGAAAACGAACAGTCTTAGTGAGATGATCTTACCGCTTGGCCAGAAAAAGAATTATCACTATGGCAACAACAAGCAGGGTAGCAGAAACTATTGAACCTACAATTAAACCTACATCTGTATCTGAAAATAAAAACATGAATGATATTTGTATAGCAAATAGTATTTTTATATAATTATACAATGCTTGAAAAGTAAATAAAATTTTCCACATCAAACTATTTTGCTATAAAAAAGGGACAAAGTAACACAATGTATCTTTGTGCAACAATTGCTTCTTTCTAAATATTGAAGCTCTACTTGAAATTCAAATGTTATGTATGTAAATGATTTTTGTTAAACTACGATTTGTCTTTTGTCTCACTGTCCTGTGTGATGCCAAATTGTTACTTTAATGGTAGTCTTGACAGCTTCTGGTTCGTTATTAATGTCTGTTAATCCGCACCAGATCTCTATTTGTCCATGGCCGAGCAGAAAAAATATCGTTTCAAGGATTGAACAATGCGCTTTACAATTGTAATAGACTTAAGGAAAACTACAGTCTTGGTGAACCAAAAAATAAGATAGCTTAAGCCCGTCTCACACAAAACACGGTTGCACACACGATTCCCATACGGTATACTCGGTTATACACGGGTTGACTGGTACGAGTTTTGAGCTCCAACCGTGCTTGTGGTTTAGTTGGCACGAATTAGACTCGAATATAGCACGAGTATGTACGAATTGAGCACGGATATACTCGGTCAAGCAAGGTTTGAACACGATTTGCATACGAATACATACGACTGTTGTACGGTTCCAAGTACGGTCTAGTTCGGTCTGGTACGATAAAACACGACTTTTACTCGATTTACTCGACTTTCACAGGGTTTACATAGGGTCCCGCCGACTTTTGTTCGAGTTAGACTCGAAATATCACACATTTGTGTATGTTTTGATATAAATTAACCCATTTTGATGACTTGGCTTCATGAATTTTCGAAATTTCAACGAAGAACACTTATATATAGATCATTATAATACTGCACGTTTGTAACGTCGCTTTTCATTGGATAATCGTGACGTTTATATATTTTTATATACACGGCTGCTGTCGATTTATAAAGAAATCTCGCTTTATTCCTCTAAAAATGATGCTTGCTGTTTTATAAATTCGTTATAAAGATTGTTGACAGGTTCGGGTTATATTTACAAACAGCCGTTTATATAAGGCCATATCTTATGGAACAACAATCTTTATAACTAATATCAACATCAATAAATGAATAAAAAGTGAAGCAATGTAAAATGAATGTGTCTTTTTTTGTTGTGTAGCGGTTGCTGGAGGGTCCACCGAGCTGGCATTGGAGTCTGAATCCCTGAGAGACACGGTTATTGCCGGTTGGTCCTCTAGCTTATCAGGGTCAATAAGTTGGAGTGGTCGGTGGGCCTGGATGGCTCTTCTTGTATTCCTTCTATGCGTCCAAAACTTCTTCTTTGGATACATTCTAGTATGATGCAGCAAACACTCTTGGTAGGGTGGCAGCAGGTAGTTGTGTTTTTTGTACAGTTCTTGCTGACGTAGAGGCCGTGTTAGACCGTACGAGGCCATGTGAGACCCTGTTTACCCGTACTTTACCGTGTCAGCCATGTATGTTTCGTATATGAACCGTATTGGTCGTATGGCGATCGTATGAAACCGTGTGTGCACTCGTTTGAATCGTACCGTGATCTTGTGACATTCGGGTGTTAATCGGGTGTTTGATGTCGGACTTGGGGACGGTCTCGAACGATTCCATACGATTTATATACGACCTTGATACGGTTGGGCTCACTCGTGGAGTGAACTTCACATACGGCTGTATATACGGTCTCATACGGTCTCACACGGTCTCTTACGGTCTTGTACGGTCGCTTATACGGTCATACACGGACATGGCATCCGTACCAGTTTTTTTAAAAGTTTTAAAAATCATACACGGCTTACACGGATACACTCGAATGGCCCGAGTGTAACTCGGATAACGCTACGGTTAGTTCGGTTGTATGTACGGTTTACACGGGTGGTCAACCGTGTAAGCCGTGTGTCCTGTGTGAGATGGGCTTTAAGAAAGACAGCGGCGTACACCGCGGAAGATCGAGTAAAATGTATACTCGGTACCATGGTTATAGGATCGTATAGCATACGCAGTTTTACATGTTTGTATAACTTTAAATGTTACCTATGGGTTGGAACCCTTTTTACAATGAAATGAAAAATATTATTTCATTTTATTACTTAATACGGTAGTAGTGAAACAAAAGATGATTTTGTAATGAATCGGATAAACGATAAGTTGGCAGGGAAAGATCAGAGAGATAATATTGAAAAGTTTAAACATTATCACGGTAATGTTCAGATTGGACAAAGATTAAGAAGTGGTCAAGTATACAATTAGAGTTTTCGATAAAAATTGCAGTAGTTAAAGCTTCAATCGGTCTATAGTCAATTGTCAGTGGTCAAGAAGTCACTGAACCCTCATAATATTAAACTACTCTTATATTATCAGATATATGATATCATAACTTAGTTGATCGTTAAGTTAAGGCTGAGTTTCTTACATTGAAATAGAGAAAAACAGAATCCCTAAAAATAGCCCAACACGACAATATTGAAAATGTTGGATTGAGTCTGTTCATGGATGGTATTGGAATGTGCAAGTTACCGTACACGCCCCCTAGCATCGGCTTAAGCAGAATTCAAAATTTAACGCGAAACTGGTGAAATTTTAAATTTAGAAACATCCGCAGATGTGTTCATACGGCGGTTATCATGGAACATTCAATGTAACACAGTAGTGCCATTCAACGAAAAGCGGCGTATGGTCCCCAATTAAAGGAATGATTTTGCCCTAAACGAGAAAACAATGGGCGGAACTAAATAAAATGGAATTTTGAAAGGGGATCTGAGGTTATGAAGCCTGCATATCACAGAAAAGACGTCAACAGACAAATTTAAGAAGCAGGCAACATATCCTAAGGGTGATTATACAGTATTCAAGTCAGAATACTGGAACCACCAAAGTTGAAAATGGCAAAAAAGAAGAAACTAAAAGTACCACATAACATGTATACACAACAATAATGTCGTGCTGAACGATCTTCAAGGATCGAAAATATAACATCATTGATTAAATGTATGGGGAAACGTTTTACAGCCACCAAAGGTCTCAAATAACACGGATGTGACAATAAAATAGAGAAAAACAGAATCCCTAAAATAACCCAACACGACAAAATTGAAAATGTTGCAGCTCAATTTGATTGAGTCTGCTCATAGACGGTACTGGAAAGTGCAAGCTACCGTCTTATTATGTTTGTTGTCTAGCATCATTTAACCTTTATGAAAAAGACCCAAAATTAAAGTCGTAAAAGGTTTGTCTTTTATATCAATTAAATTTTCATTAATATATTTTTCTTATCAAATTTGAATTTCAACAATTATATTAACAATGTAAAGTTGTACCTGAATTTCCACCATCACCGGTTTGGTGTTGCTCTTTTGATGTGTTTATATCGCTTTTGCACAGCGATTTCTTTTGTTCTTGTATGTTTCCAGTAAAATGAAGTTCGTACTTATCAGAAGCATCACATCTTTTCAAATACCCGTATTCCAAATGAGCGTTTCCTATGATTGGTTCTAAAAGAAAACTTTATTTATTAACATCTGCTAAGGAATAAGGACGCATTTAATACCGGAGCACACAAGCAAAGACATAAGATAAAATAAAAGGGATTCTGTAAGTTTTTTTAACTGTTTTGCAAGGCATTTAACGCGTTTGTCGTCAGGTGATAGTCAAGTTCTAAATATACAACGTATATGGCACAATTTTTCATCGTGAATGTTTTAAAATAAAAGTGTTGGTTTATATCGTTTTGTATTATCGTTCAATCATCGTGGTTTACAATGTATGTGGCATTTAGGATTTTTTTTTACCTTAAAATAAACTACAAAATTACAAATTACAAAACTTTAAGGATTTGTTAAATTCTTTGCACGGAAATGTCTGGTAGGAGAACAAAAGTCAAATAAAAGATAAATTGATAGCTCGACTCTTTTTGCTTAATTTTTTACCAATTAACCTATCAAAAATTATGTCATTTTATAATTTAACGCTCATCTTAGATATAAAATCCAAATATATGTTCCTTCATAAATCAGTCTTTTGTGATTATCTTGTGTTAATATAATAAAGAACGTACAATAATGATACGTTCTCGGGTTATTGTATCCATTGATGCGTGTTTTCACCTCCGTAAATGTATTCCTGCAAGCGCAGGTGTAACGCAGAAATGCATACTAAGGTAAACTAAAAAAACGCTATATTGAAACTAAAGCATACCTGAGAATGTGAAGATTGACAGACTGCGACACATTCCTGTCCAAGAGTGTATAGTATTTCCGTTAAAGTTCACAGCATTTTCATATAAAAGTGGTCGAACATTGCTGCCAAAACATAAGTTATTTGCCCGATACCATGGAAAATATTGCCGACCTGTCGTTTGAGCAGGCACATCGTAAGCTGTTGTTCCTAAAATTGATGGGAGTATGAGATCAATGCTTTTAATTTACATTAGGACATAACTATAAATCACTACAAAACAAATCAGATAAAACGACAAAGAAAAATTAAAACTGAAATGTTCAACAAATAATTAAGGGATCATAAATGGAATCATGAAAGACATGTTGTAATGTATGCATTATTGCATTGTACATTGCTTTAGTCAGTCAGAATACAAAATTATTTCTAGACATAACATTTAATTATAGGCTGTTTTTGACAACATGAACATCTTTTACATAAGGTACAGTTGCATTAAAATATGTATAGAGATTTTTGGTTATTATTAATAAAATAATATAATTAACGACGTTTTATGGGTCAGTTTACATATTCAAGCGAAATAGTTGTCACATATTGTTATAATTTACCCTGTTCACGAATTTGTTTAATATTGTTACTAAAATTGAACACTGCAAGTTACAAGGTTTTCAAAGGTTAAATGTAAAAAAAAGTACCAATTAGTTCATATAAAGTACCAAATAGGTCATATAAAACACCACATAGTTCATATAAAGCACCAAATAGTTCATATAAAGGGAGATGTGTTTGTATAACAAGCGTATATAGAGCACATATTTGTACCAAACATTTTGGCATGTGCTATTACTGTCCGAATTTTAAATATGGATCGATGACAATGGTGCTTCAGTTTCCTATTAACTACTTGAAGATTTCAAATATTTACCATCATAGCATATATTGTGTAACGCACCGTCGCACTGAGCCCACAAAAGTTTCTTGTCGCTTTCCAGCCTGACGCAATTACTTTTATTTTTATTTTGACCAAACACCTTACGGATGTTTAGAACTGAAATGGTAAAAATATTTAAACATGTTTAAAAATCTTAATGTCCAGGATCCGTGTTGATAAGATGCCATCTTAATAATTGCGAGATTTAAGCCACATTGATTGCAGGCAGTATAGAAAGCTAAAAATACAACAAATTATAAGCTTTTAAGAACATAATCAACTAATGTAATAGGAGCGATCATGGCTTATATGATTTGTTTTATAGACTTCTTAACTGATTGTGTTGTGTCATGTTCCTTATAAAATATATTGAAATTTCAAATATATGTTTAAAGGTAATATATGACAGTTACTATATAAATTATATCAGTTTCATTGTCGGCATGGAAATAGTTTTGAACTGAATTTGTAAAGATATGATGATTTTTAAAATTGTGTACTCCCTTAAGAAAAAAGTCAATAAAAGATGAAAATAAAGTGAGTGTTTTAACAATATAATAACTCACGTGGGAGAATCACGCCATTCGTTACCCAAGCAAACAAGATGGCGGATGCAGCCGAAAAGTTAGTGTTTCCCTTTTTTGTCTAAAACTCGTGATGTTCTTGTGTAAAGGTACATGTAATAATCGTCTTCACAATTTTCCTGGCACACAGGATTTTATTACATGATGTTTTGTCCCGTACTTCATCTGAAATGCGCGTCACCAGAATCGAAGCGAGATAATTTTCCACCGGTTTGATCGTGATAACTTACGGCTTCCTCCCTAAAATTCAATGTTTCATTTACATATATGTATATAAAACTGTAACCACTGACTTTACAAAGTTGTAATATGTCGTCATCTAAAGCATCGATGCCCATTCTAGCTAGAATAACCGCTGTGATGGAAAATATCGATGCATTTTCCGGAAATGGAACGTATGGCGCAAAAATATGAGCGCTAACGTAGGCACCTCTGGTGGTATGAACATTATTTTAGATAAAAGTATCGCCAGATTATGATAGGCAAATTAATGAATTGCATGTAATTGTTTTGATCAAATTATGACGTTCCTTTTCGTTTATGATAACCGGAAAAGAAAAATATATCTAGCCGTCCATACCTTTTTAATATCTGCTCTGCTGAATGCGTTTCTTCTTTCTGACAAGGGGATTCGAACATAATTGCGAACATTAATGTGAAGACAACAATACACAATGATCATTGAAAGTGGAGGCCTTTCTTTATACAAAAATAATCTCAAACTATACATGTGTGTTTTAATTGGTAAGATAAAAGGTTAGTATATTAACAACGAATATCTATTATGCCACCAGCTAGAAAGATATTTATATCCAATGGGTGCAGCATTGTTCAATTATTTAATTCTGAACAGAAAAACATTTTTTTCAGATATCTATCATTTCCGACATACAAAATAATTCATTATCAGTTGACTGTACAAATGGAAATCCACCAAGAAGAAAAAATGCGCCGCACGTTATCATTAATATTTTTGTGCGCCGTTACGTTATCATTGATATTTTGTGCGACATACGTTATCATATCCGTTAAAATGCCCCGATAGTATTATTAGAGCGTAAATCTAGCCAGAATGGTCATGAATGCTTAGATGACGACATATTACAACTTATTTAAGTCAGCGGTTTCAGTCAATAAGCATATATAATAAACGAAACAGTGAATTTGAGAGAAGAAGCCGTAGGTTATCACGATCAAACCTGTGGACAATTTCTCTCGCATCTATTCTGGTGACGCGCATTTCAGATGAAGTACGCGACGAAAACACCATGAAATTAAATCCTGTGTGCCCGGAAAAATTCTGAAGAAGATTATTATATGTACATTTACACAAGAAAATTACGAATTTCAGGGAAAAAAGGGAAAAAAAACTAATTTTTCGGCTGCATCCGCCATCTTGTTTGCTTGGGTAACGAATGGCGTGATTCACCCCCTTGATAACTAGTATGTTTATTTTTTGGTTTTTGTATAACGGGTTTAACACGGTTTATATTTTTTTCCCTAATTTCCGTGAGATGACGCCCTGTAGGGGGGGAAATTTTAAATTTTTTAATTTGTATCTCTAAACATAAGTGTACTCGGCGTTCTATAGCACTATAGGGTAAATTCACGAGTTCATTAAACTAAGTAACCACACGTGTTTTAAGTTCGAGGCCGCGTTTGGTCCCCATGCTTTTTTTCTTTAATTAATACTTTCAACATTTATTGAATCTATTTTATGATTAATTCATGTTGGTTCGTTTTTTGTATTATGTTTTACTTAAATTTTGTTATGTATATAGATCTAACTCTTTGTAAATAAACATGTTTTTTTAAAGAATTCATGTTTAAAATTAAAAACGGATTAAAAATTCAATAAATGTCCTTTTCAATGCCGTAAAAACACTTTACAAATCTGTTCCATTAAAATATACTGAAAAAATAAAGAAAGCGTACTAAAACAATGGCAACAGTAAAGATCGAACCACAGACCTCTCAATTATCAGGCATTCTCTTTACCGACTGTCCTATTGTGATAGTTAACGAAAAATTTCACATTAAGCTGGCGTGACTTTCAATCCATGACTAATATACTCTACATTAATTTTCGTAAACTACACGGACCAAACCGAAGTGGGATCGAATATTTAAATGAGTCCTATGATGTATTCATAATTGACAGGTCAATAAAATCAGACAATAAAGAATAATGACATGTCAAATAACGATCATCTCCTTTTATTGTTACTCAAAAATTTAATGGCCATTGATGTCCAGCTTTATTTGTCATCCAATGAAAACGCTGTATTTCTTAAAAATTATATGTGTTGGTTTCCTTAGCAAGAACCAATTTTAGATTCCATTCATACTTCTTCTATTTGTTCTTGCCCTCTAAGAACCCATAAAAATTGACAGGAAGTGAAAAATATTAATGAAGACTCTGGACACTAAGTATGTTACCCATCCTTATCTATCGTTCCCGTCGAAGTTTCTTATTTCTGTAGATTATGGATGAACATTTTCCTTAATATTGCTTTTATAGATAATTTCAAATTTTCATTTCAACTTTTAAAACCCAGAGGACCCTTATAAAATCAATATGCTTTTATACATTTCAGTGCGAGGGTTATTTACCCAAGTGAAGTAGATAATATGGTGAAATACATTGAAGGGCATACGCATATCATTTAAACATTTTGTTGACTAAATATTATTATTATGTATATTATATTTTGTACATTTATCACCTATGCACATCTTCCTTACCTTTTTTATTAACCACATATAAAGAAATAAATGATTGTCCCCCACAAGCTAAACCTTCAGAGGGTGGCGGACATGATTCATTACATGACGCATAGCTAACTAGTGTCTGTTCTGCTGTGATCGTTTTAAAACAAAAACACTGTAAAAGCACAAAATATCTGTCATTTCAAATTACACAAACTGATAAATTTTACGTTTTAAAACAAATCATATTACGGAGGTGCGTGAAATACAAAGTTGAAAAATACTAGACTTTTGACAATGTTAATTTATTATACACTTCTGATATCTAAAATTAATATGATTTATTTAATAAATTGACAAAACTAATAATAAACTGTTGATTTCCTACCCTTCTTTATTAATTTTAAGTATTTACTTATTTTTACCTCATGACCCATTAGTCCAATAACTGATCCTTTTCGTGAACATAGAGAAAAACAATTTCCTGGTGAATTCTTTACAATATGTTTCGATTGAATTCGTAAGGTTTCTGGATGTTCTATGCAGCCTGAATTTAATTAATATTCAATTTTTAAAACTATAAAACTTGAATTAATAAAACGCTGGATACGTAGAAAAAAACAAGGAAAGCTAATATTAGCATGAAGTGACGTTCATAGTATGGAACTTCAATTCATTTGTATGACGGACTGAAATTTTCGAGGTGATTAACTAAAAGCTATTCCATTGAAAAATCTGTTAACTCATTGTAACGTTTAAAAAAATCTATAATAATTAACATCATTTCCTTATCAATATTGCAAAACTGTTGTTAACTTTCTGCGATAATCACATTTAATCAAATTAAGTTTCGGCTTTCAAAGCAAGCAATTTTACATTAATTATATTAAGTCAGTTTTAAATATATTGATTTTAAAATTGACGTAAATGTGAGATTTTAAGTAACCGCAAAAGATCAGAAAAAAAGAGAATATTAAAATAAATATAGTATTACCGAAATACTCAAACCCCCGCATATTCCGGAAGTATCCAAGCCACCTTCCATCCATATCATTTGTCATGTTCTGATCCTCCTTTACAGTAAAGATTTCACCATCATAAATAAACTCCGGTGTTGCTAACGTGCAATTGTCTTTTGCTTTGTCCCATGTCATAAACTCATTGTAGGGTGCTGGAATTAAGAATGACTGTATTTACCTACCTATGTTTTTTAGATGTAAGGATAGTCAAGTATTTAAGGCTGGATTAAAAAACGCGTGTGTGTTATATAGGTTATACCTGCAACCATTAACAATCTATTATGGATTTGATGCCAGTTCAAAATCACATAATACTTTTCATTTTTAATAATGGATTTAGAACAAGTGAGATGCTTACTATCTGCAAAAATGCAATGAATATAAGAAAATGTGGTAAAAGTAGCAAACTCAAAACTATATGGTATTTTGACTTCAATACAAAATACAAAATTCCTGTTACTTTAATCATTGACGAAATGCAAAAGAAAAAAATGATGGCTCAGATACTAGGTAAATGAGTAACCTTTTGGTAAATTGTAACAAAACAACAATTTAAGCAGCTTTTGAAAAATATAAATAGCAAAGTTTTAAGTTAAATTGGCGTTTAAACTGAAACATCTCTTCCCCCTCCGCACATCTTATCGATTTTAATTAAAATTTAATTATTTGTAAAAACATCTATTTTTATTTTAAACGTGTCAGTATTTTAAAGTCGTTTACTGCATCACTAAAGAAATGTTTTAATACGCGAATACAATATAAAAATCGCCCATCTGCTGGAATGAAATATATAATGCTTCAAATCAATGGTTTTAACATATTTTACTCACCTTACTTCCTTACGACTAACAAGGTAGGTGTATTGATCAAACTTGCAAAATTAACAACGACATACAATATAGTTATAAATAGCACATCACTTTGTTGGTAACAGTACAATTTCACCCGGAAGGAGCTCACAAACCTATGTGTTATTTCTTTTATTACCCAAGAAAAAATACTAAAAATTTTCCAAATAGATCTAGATGTAAGAAAATTTTACCAACAGTACCTTACTTCTAATATTTCATTAAATATCTTATATTCTTTAAAGGGACTGCACTGAGTTGTTGTTGTTGGTTTTTTTTCTCGTTTTTTTTTTTGTTTTTTTTTCGTTTTTTTTTGGACGTGTCGGGACTGACAACATTTTCACGAGATTGGTGTACAATTTTATGAAGGTATTGGCTTATGACTTGTGTGCAATTTTTATTTGTCATTCCCTCAACCGGTTTTTCCATAATAATACTTTTTATTGCAAAAAATGAACAGAAAATGGAAAGCCTTGCAACGCTATCTAAGAATCGCACAGATAATCGAGTTTCAAATTAGTATATTTCTTTATTATCCTTCGCAGGGTTTACAATTGTAAGTGCATAACTTGATATTTAAAGATTTTCAAATTTTATGATTAAGGCCTTTTGGCCTTTCTTTAAGATATTGTTGATACCTACCAGTCACAATATTTGACATGAGCTGTGTCTCATTTAGAAATTAAAACACAAACACAAATATACGGAATATATGTTCTTCATCAGCTTTTATATTCTTCATTTTTTGGCAATGTGCAACAACGTCTGAATAAAATCTGTCTACCTCACAATTTTAATAAATACGTTAAACCATCCTTGTTTGTATGCTTTAATCATCTGCTTGTTTCATTTTGATAAATATAGTTGCTAATGGATACTTTTTGACTTTTTATCACGTAATGTTTGAATATGTTTTAAACAAGAGCCATGTCAACATGGCCATCCCCCGCCGAATGTGTTTGCTCATTGGAAGAATGTATATGTAGTAGAGCGGAATAATTCCATTTTAAGAGGTCTTTTGGTAATGAAAACTGATGGCTATAGTGATTACAGATTTGAAACCTATGTGAATACTGATGGCTGAAAATAACAAAGGGCAATTACTGAAAAATAATTCAGGGTAGGTTATCATTCTTGTGTGCTGCATCCCTCCTCAGTAAAATCTATCCACCTATGAAGTTTCAAGTTGATACCTCAAATACTTTTTGAGAAAAAAATTGAATTGAAAAATTAAGTATGAAAAAGAACAAAGGGCAATAACTCAAAAATTATAAAAGGTAGAGTTATCATTCTTGTGCAGTGCACACCTCCTGAGTGACATCTATGCACCTATGAAGTTTCATTTTGATATCTCAAAGGCTTTTTGAGTTATGCTCTGGACCAAAATTAATTTTGAAAAATAACAAAGGGCAATAACTCAAAAATAATGCAGGGTAGAGTTATCATTCTTAAGCACTGCACTCCTCCTCAATGAGATCCATCCACATTTGAAGTTTCAAGTTGATACCTCAAATACTTTTTGAGATAAGCTCTGGACAAAATAGCATGAAAAAAGGGCAATAACTCAAAAATTGTATAGGGAAGAGTTATCATTCTTGGCACAACATTCCTCCTCAATAAGATCTATCCACCTATGACATTTCATGTTGATATCTCAAACACTTTTTGAGTTATGCTCCACTCAGGTGAAAAATTAGGTATGAAAAATAACAAAGGGCAATAACTCAAAAATTATGAAAGGTAGAGTTATCATTCTTGTGCACTGCACACCTCCTTAGTGAGATCTATGCACCTATGAAGTTTCATGTCAATATCTCATAGGCTTTTGGAGTTATGCTCTGGACAAAAATCAATTTTGAAAAATAACAAAGGGCAATAACTCAAAAATCATGCAAGGTAAAGTTATCATTCTTGTGCACTGCACTCCTCCTCAATGAGGTCTATCCCCCTATGAAGTTTCAAGTTGATAACTCAAATACTTTTAGAGATATGCTCCGGACAAAAATGTCGGACGGACGGACGGTCGGACGGACGGACGGAGACTATTTCTATATCCTCCGCCAAAATTTTTTGGCGGGGATAAAAAATGGGCGATATTTATTTCCCCTGTAGTTTTGTGACGTTGAGTGTTTTTGTTGTGTTTTTTTTTGTTGTTTTTTTTTTTTTTTTTTTTTTTGGGGGGGGGGGGTCGTTGCTGTTGTCTTTTTTGTGTGTGTTATCTTGTTTTGTTTTTGGCGGGGGGTAACCTTAGTTTGCTAATTACTCTCAACTGTCTATCTGTCAACTTCTGTCATCAAAAGCCAGCATCATAATAATACTACATACATTATTCTCAAAATGTACAACAAGTAAAACGCTAAATTATATGATTTTATGAACAAATCGTATTTCATGGACTGTATTTACATATTTTCACTTGTTTCAGACAGCACATCCTTGTATGATATATCTTTGAACGTTTTCTAATGCAGAATGAAGGACTTCAAAAGCTAGTTATAAGTTTATTCGAGTCTTAATTTTAATCATCATTTTCTCATGCCGACAATCATTTGTCACTTAACTATGGTGATAGATTCACGGCATGACGTTTTGTTTTCTTTACCTAAAAATGCGAATCACCACGGGACGACATAATTTTTCATTAATTTACATGCTTTACAAAGTTAAAACAGTTTTTTTATATGAAAACAATCAGAAATTGGTCTACATTTATAATACTAGCAATACATTTTACATATGATTTTTACATTATTGTCTTTTATTATATGTTTGTTTCGAAAATAATAAGGTTAACTGAATCTTTATAATTACCTGTAGCAACACATATCCGAAAAAGAAGCAACACAATAAATTCTTTGACACCTGACATTCCTATTGTATACGGCCGTCTCCATTTAGGATTACATTGACGAGGATAAAAACACCCGGAAGTATTGCTATCATATAACGCGATATGAAATGTAAAGTCATCTATTTAAAGTATCATCGTATAGGAAGAAATATAACCGTATAATTCCTTTCACAATCGGCTATATATATATTAATTCAATGATGCTTGAAACAGCCAATATTGTAAATTGTACAAAATTGCACAATCATAAAGTGTATGTTGATTGAAGTGGTTGTCATTTGATTGTAAATGTATTGCATTATTTCAATCTTTGAAGTAAACGAAAGTAAACATGAGGTATTATTTTTCGAGCAATTGGTACTAACATATAAATGTTTACATGTCATAAACAACAATATTGTTTGCAAAAAATATATTTCTATTGTATATAGCGCATCTTATCTCTTCACGTGCAAGAGTACATCGGATATATAATTTATTGTGGCATTTATCAACGATCTAACATTATAGGCATTATTCAAAACGAAAACAGACATACTTTTGGTAAGACTTTTGATTGTTCCTATGACTAGCTACAAACAATGAACAACCTACAAAAGGTAACTCGATACTAATATACATATATAATCCTCGAATGTATCATGTACGGTGTCCTTATCGTGCCATTTAGAATGTCGTCCGTCGCGTCTAAGGGTAGACACACGACAATGCGAAGTGACATCGCGACAATGCGAAGCGACGCTCGACAACGCGAAGCGATATGCGACAATGCGAAGCGACGCTCGACAGTGTCAAACGATATGTCGCACTGTCGCCTAGAAATGTCGCGGTAAAAAAGGGCGACATTTAAGAAATGTCGCTTCGCGTTGTCGAGTGTCGCTTCGCATTGTCGAGTGTCGCTTCGCGTTGTCGCGATGTCACTTCGCGTTGTCGCGATGTCACTTCGCGTTGTCGCATTGTCACTTCGCATTGTCGAGTGTCGAGGTTGGTAGAAGTGCATACCACGACACTCGACAATGCGAAACGACAACGCGACAATGCGATACGACGCTCGACAATGCGAAGTGACACTCGACATCGCGAAGCGACATTTTTAAAATGTCGAGTAAATGTCGCGTTTATTTTTATGATTTTTACACCGCGACGCTCAACATTGCGAAGCGACACTCGACAATGCGAAGCGACACTCGACAACGCGAAGCGATACTCGACAACGCGAAGCGACACTCGACAATGCGAAGCGACATTTGGAATAATATCGTATCGCATTGTCGTGCGTCTACCGGTGCTTGGTCAGAATTTACTAACTCACCGACAAACGGTGCGATCATGGAAGGGGTCGCACTAAACTGCTGACGAATTAGCTGACGATATAGAATATATAGGAAACTGCTGACCAGTTAAACAAAGAAGGATTATCGAAAACTGCTGACCAGTTAGATAAAGAAGGGAAAACAATGAAGGTGTCAAATTGCCGTTGGTGATATTACAGGCGAGGTCGAGAAATACTTGATAAAATGTTTTTTCAAGATGTCAATATTACAAATGATACATATTAATTATAAAAAATTCAATTGATATATACTGTATATTTCTCAATTTATTTTGATATAATATTTTATTTAAGTACCTTAATGAATTTTCTTCTATGTGTTATATATTGGTTAAAATTTTAAAAATGTAGTCAAAATATAATGTACGAAAAATCATAATTTGTTTCAAGTATGTATAAAACTATGCATCATAGGTTAAAATATATACATGTACATATACGTAATGTATATTTTAACAAAATATAATTATTATGTCGTATTTAGTGCAAATATGAAATAAAGTGATTTCTGTTTCCTTATTTGTTGTTCGTATAATTGTATAAGTAATATTGAACAAAAATTAATAATGTGCTAATTGTTATAGTTAATAAGCTTTTATTACATTATAAACAATATGTTTCCACAGATATCCATTAAACTGATAATTTATCGAGATCGATATGCCCCGAGGTCATATTAAAATCGATTTCACACGCGACGTGTCATTCTTGATTTATCTATGACAAAATACAATAAACAGTCAAAAATATGTTATTAAAATGCTGACCATATTGTAGAATCTGCTGAAAAGTTAGATATATAGAGAAAAATATATTTAAATGCTACGAAATTGTTACTCATTATGCAAATTTAATATATTTTATAAAATAATGTCGACATTTAATTAAGTAAAAACACTGCTGACCAATTTAATGTTAATTCAAATTGATTTAAGCCGTAAAACTCTTCTTATTCTATATGGTCAGCAAATTTAACGCTCTTTACATTCAGGCGAGAAAATGCTGACCAGTTAAACATACAGTAGAATCTGCTGACCATTTAGATATATAGGGAAACTGCTGACCAGTTAGATATATAGAGAAAAATATATTTTGTCGTGAAATTTTAATTCATTTTATAATGTACGAAATTCAATATATTGTATAAAATTTTGTCGACATTTAATTAAGTAAAAACACTGCTGACCAATTTAATGTTAATTCAAATTGATTTAAGCCGTAAAACTCTTCTTATTCTATATGGTTAGCAAATTTAACGCTCTTTACATTCAGGCGAGAAAATGCTGACCAGTTAAACATATATAGTAGAATCTGCTGACCAGTTAGATATATAGGGAAACTGCTGACCAGTTAGATATATAGAGAAAAATATATTTTGCCGTGAAATTGTAATTCATTTTTATTATGTATGCAAATTCAATTTATTTTATAAAATTATGTCGACATTTAATTAAGTAAAAACACTGCTGACCAATTTAATGTTATTTCAAATTGATTTAAGCCGTAAAACTCTTCTTATTCTATATGGTTAGCAAATTTAACGCTCTTTACATTCAGGCGAGAAAATGCTGACCAGTTAAACATATACACATGTAGTAGAATCTGCTGACCAGTTAGATATATAGGGAAACTGCTGACCAGTTAGAAATATAGAAAAAAATATATTTTGTCGTGAAATTTTAATTCATTTTATAATGTACGAAATTCAATATATTGTATAAATTTTGTCGACATTTAATTAAGTTAAAACACTGCTGACTTATTTAATATTAATTCAAATTGCAATTATTGCTTTTGAAAATACATTTTTTTTCCGTTACAAGATTTTTTCTATTGAAATATCACTAAACAAGAGATTTTGATAAAACTCATAACATCATAATTCTTTATAAAACATTAATTCAAATTTTTGCATATCTTTAGAGGTATAAAAAGCTGTTTAATATATCCTTTTAAAATCACGGATTTATATTACATGTAGTAATGGAAATCCGTGTTAAAATGTATGATATTATGGTACTTTAAATGTATATATTAATTTAGTTTATAAACATAGTCATATAAATGCAAAAAATAAAAATATAATTAAAAGAATAAAAGTAATTTCCCATCTTTTTATTACCCCCTACGGCGTGTTTATATAACTTCACACCTTCAATGTTTCCCTTCTTTGTGTAACTGGTCAGCATTTCCCGATAATCCTTCTTTATTTAACTGGTCAGCAGTTTCCTATATATCTATATCGTCAGCTAATTCGTCAGCAGTTTAGTGCGACCCCTTCCATGATCGCACCGTTTGTCGGTGAGTTAGTAAATTCTGACCAAGCACCGGTAGACGCACGACAATGCGATACGATATTATTCCAAATGTCGCTTCGCATTGTCGAGTGTCGCTTCGCGTTGTCGAGTATCGCTTCGCGTTGTCGAGTGTCGCTTCGCATTGTCGAGTGTCGCTTCGCAATGTTGAGCGTCGCGGTGTAAAAATCATAAAAATAACGCGACATTTACTCGACATTTTAAAAATGTCGCTTCGCGATGTCGAGTGTCACTTCGCATTGTCGAGCGTCGTATCGCATTGTCGCGTTATCGTTTCGCATTGTCGAGTGTCGTGGTATGCACTTCTACCAACCTCGACACTCGACAATGCGAAGTGACAATGCGACAACGCGAAGTGACATCGCGACAACGCGAAGTGACATCGCGACAACGCGAAGCGACGCTCGACAATGCGAAGCGACACTCGACAACGCGAAGCGACATTTCTTAAATGTCGCCCTTTTTTACCGCGACATTTCTAGGCGACAGTGCGACATATCGTTTGACACTGTCGAGCGTCGCTTCGCATTGTCGCATATCGCTTCGCGTTGTCGAGCGTCGCTTCGCATTGTCGCGATGTCACTTCGCATTGTCGTGTGTCTACCCTTAGACGCGACGGACGACATTCTAAATGGCACGATAAGGACACCGTAATCATGATATATTTGTATGAAAAATGTTTGTAAAGGGAACGATAACTGTAGCGTCGTATCTGTCAGCAACAATGATTGAAATCATCATTTCAGCAAAATAGGATATACAGTAAGTTTAAAATATTAATATCATCTTTTGTTTTTTTGTAATTTCGATATGATGATTTGGTAATATATAAGACGGGTTTATTTGAGAATTTCCTCCAAAATTATTCGCAAATAATGGAGAAGACACATAGAATGGAAAAATGAATATAATATTCACGTTTTTTATCCGACATAGTGCAGATAAATTATTCGCCTATTTACACGTGCTTCCTTGTTTGCCGTATCTTTATCTAAATTATTTATCTTTTTAAATTCGTTCTAGTAAACAGACCCAAAAGAAATACAAAGTATAGTGTAGTTGTGACGAAAGTTCATGTGTTCAGTTTTGAAATGACGCTGAAATCATGTTTGTGTTGGTTTTTTTCTGTGGATTTCTTCTGTTAACGGTATTTTATTACTTACTAAGTTGTTAATACATGTATATATTTTGTTACTTAGCCCTGTCCCTTTTTAACGCGTAGGTAGTTAAATAACTACAGTAAACTTCACTTATAGCGAACACGGTTATAGCAAACTTCCGGTTATAAGGAACAATTTATTTTGGCCCGAATTTTGCACTTCTTTATTTAATATAAAAATATACGGTTATAGCGAACACGGTTATAAGGAATTATAGCTTATATAGCTTAGATACTCCTTTCTTAGTCCCAATTTAGTTAAAAGTGCATAAAATTACACTTTTATAACGAACCCCAAATATCGCCTATTCGTAAATATATCCCGCATTTTCAACTTTCGTTTTCATTGGCACGGAATAAAACCCGCGGAATGTACCGTTTATTGTTGTATGTAATTCAATATATGAAAATGAATTTGTATAGAAGTATGAAATAGTTTTCTATTTAGGATATTTTAGCTTGAGTTGTTCTTGTCACAAAGATAAAACGGTAATTCCTTTTACTAGTATTCTATAATTTCTTTTCTTCAATAGTTTTGCTCGAGTAAAATAATTAGCGGTTCTCATCATAATCACGCATGCTTGCAACCATAATCCATAGAAAACTACAAAGTATGCTTGATTGGAATGAAAAGAAATCTATATATTTCATTAGTTAACGTCACCCTTAAAATATAATAGAAGATATTCAATATAAAAGGAAGAAAAATGGAAAACCTTGTTTATTCTTATTCATTGAAAGAAAACAAAATGCACTGAGCTAAGACACAAAATATGATGTTTAATGAAAAATTGAGAAAGGGAGTAAAACTAAAACTGAAATAGCAAAGGATTTTCAAATTCCAAAATGTGCGCTCTCGGGCATCATGGCTAAAAAGAAATAAATGACTAATTGATCCTAAAAAATGCTCTTCCAATGGAGAACGATGGTTAACAATCAGGTAGTTATGTGTAAATCTGTTCGCAATAAAACAAACTCCTGATACAAAGAACTAATTCGCTATATGCTTACAAGGAACTCCGGATATAAATAACAGATTGTGAATGTCCCAATGAGTTCGTTATAAGCGGAGTATATTGTATTCACTCAATTTCATAGAAATAGATCATATACCTAACTGTTCAATAGCGCAACTGTCAATTTTTAAAAGACATTCGATGTTCGAGAAATAGCATCTTTAAAAGTTATCATAATTTTTATTATAGAGGATAAGTAGTAAAATGCATACATAAGTTTCAAATAAGCATCTTTAACGTAAAGATATTTTAATTTGCTAAGACATTTTGGTTGGGAACTTGATGTAAATGTAAATATGTTCAACGTTCCCAACCAAAATGTCTTAGCAAATAGAAATGTCTTTGAGTTAAAGATGCTTATTTGAAACTTATATATGTATTTCTTTACTAAAGTCTTATCATTTATTTAAAAAAATAACTTTAAAATATGTTATTTCTCGAAAATATAACAACACTGAAGTGAAGTACGGGGCAACTTTGTACAGCTGCCATATGGCACTTGACACCTGCTTCTGTGAAGTATAAAATCTTACATCAAAGTGATCCCTCGGAAGCATTAATCACAACAAAATTGCATCAAATTGCAGATTCGGTTTGATTGGGTCTGTACATGGGGGACAATGAATAAGTACAGCATCTCTCAAGCCTCCCGAAGGACAAGAAAAATATAACAACACTGAAGCAAAGTTTTTACAGCTGCAACACGGCACTTGGCACCTTACGTGATCCATTCATAAATGTTTGAATAGAACTGGAAATATGTACATTTATTGATCGATAATCAGTTGATGTGATATCCCCATATACATTCTATAAAACTCTAGTACAGAAACATTTTATGATAATTTGGTCCCTCATACATGTCCGATAACAAATAGAGTTTATGTACATCAAGAGGGTTCCATCGTGATCTCTTCGCATCTGTTAAAACATAAATAGAGTAAATTTATATCTAGATGATCCCCTGGTCATTTTAACATGATGGACTCATGCATGTTTCAAAATAAATAGAACATATTTATATCTAGAGGACCCCTAGTCCATTCCGTAATCCCCTTATACAAGTTCAACAATACATAAAGTATATCTACTTGATCACTAATCCCCTTATACATGTACCATAATGAAAAGAACTAGAATTTGTTTATATAAAGATTAATCCTTGGATATCATGTACAATCCCTTGATATATGTTCAAGAAGAAAGAGAGTTTGTTTGTTTGTTTGGATTTTTACGGCACGTCAACACATAACTGGCCATATCGTGCCAAATGCTGTATTAGGCTTAAAATGTTATATAATGTTTTGTAAATGACAATAAAAATGAGTCAATTAGATCCTAGAGTACAAGTTTATTTCTTTCAAATAATCAATGATGTTTTTTGATGGAATTGTATTAAAGAGTTCTTTGAGTGAGTTTACACGATAAAATCTATTACGGGCCATTGAAAAATCATGACATTCAGGAAGAAAATGTTTGACAGTAACATTTTCATTACAAGCTACACAGAATGAAAATGTACATAAATATGATAAAAAGGTCAATTTTGACGATCCCCTAAAATCATAATTATTCTTGGGGCACTCATTTCCATGGTTTTTTTAAATGTACATGGAGATTATCCCTATGTAACTATAAAGGTCCCTGATAGTCTTACGTGATCCCCTCATACATACTCCATAACGAATAGAGTAAATGTACATCGACATGATCTCCTGATTGTCTCATGTGATCCTCATACAATCTCTTTATTATATAAGAGTATATGTACATCTATATGATCCCCTGGTCGTCTTACGCGATCCCCCATACAGGTTCCATATTAAATAGAGCGTATTTTCATCTAGATACCCTGTCATTAAACATTGATCCCCACACATCTGATTGTTTATATGTATATCTAAACGATCCCCTGGTTGTCTTACGTAATCAAATAATACATGTTTGATATAAAACAGAGTATATGTCATCAATATGACCACTTACGTGATGTCTTCATACATTTTCGATAATAAAAAGAGTATATGTAAATCTATATTATTCCCTGGTCATCGTACGCGATCCCTTCATACATGTTCAATAATGAATAGAGTATATGTACATCTACATCATCCCCTTGTCCCCTTACGTGATCTCCCCTTACATGTTCCATAACAAATAGATTAAATGTTCATCTAAATGTTCCATTGGTCACTTAACGAGTATATGTGCATCTACATCATCCCCTTGTCCCCTTACGTGATCTCCTCATACATGTTCCATAATGAATATAGTAAATGTTCATCTAAATGATCCAATGGTCACTTAACGAGTATATATACATCTAGATAATCTCCTGGTCATCTCACATGATGCCCTCATACATGGTCCATAATGAAAAGAGTATATGTATATATACGAGGGGCTATCAAAGAGGTCGTACACTTTTTAAATATCCTTTGAAAGTCAACGTGTATTGTAATGACATTTTATAGAATATGTAATAGAAAGAGCATCGAAACACGAGGCTATCTGATTTGTACGAGCTAGTGTAGCCCCCGAGTATTTATCAGATTGCCGAGTGTTTTGATGTTATTTCTCTTTTGTATCATAGTCAAATATAAAAACACGTTCCATGTTGTCACAAGATGAAACCCCGGGAAAAAGTAACCAATGAACGAACATCTAAATATGATATTACTGTCGCTTTCCCTTTCTTTTCCGTCACAATAAGTAAACCCCAGCAAAAATGAGCCAATCAATGGACATGCTCTAGAGTGCGGGTAACTTATACCTGCACTCCAGTTAACGCACTGTGCATGTATATGTATACGATTTAACTGTGACACATTTTCAACAGAAAGGTACCCAAACTATGATACAATATTAACTTATTTTTAAAGGAACAGTTAACTGTGTCTTAAATAAGCACATACACGGCATCCAGCGCACGGTAGAAAAGCGCAGTCAGTCATCGCATATATTTTGCTAAAAACTGATTATAAAAGTAAAAGAACAGCTAAATATCGCAAGTTTCTTCTAAGACGTCATTTTAGAATTTTTTTTTCAGGGTCGTCATTTCCGTTATGTTTTGTTTATATCGCTAAAACACCAGACACCGATGATATTTGTAAACGGGAAAATGATGGACACGCACAGAAAATAGAAAATCGAGCGATCATACAATTTTGATGTAATTTTTTAATTTTGTTGTAATTTTGGAATGATAGCTACAAAACATTTAAAAAATATGCAGCATGCGACAAGAGTAAATAAAATTTCACGATCATTAGTGTTTAAGTTGTATAAGAGATGTAGTGATGGACGAGAAAACGGACATTACTTTGAGATGAAGTAACGGTCATTGACTGTGTAACGTTGAGGCACAAGTTCTACGTTATTATGACGTTGACGTCAATAACCTTTTGGAGTGTGCCGCTGTCGCCAACAGTGTTTGTATGTTTTTATGTAAAATCAAATATTTTTGTAAAATAAGAAGCTACTAAAATTAATTTTTCTGCGTTTATTTGTTATTTATGATCAAGATTATTTTTAATCACATTGCAATATTTTTTTAATTTTTAACTTTGGACAATTTGCACTAACTAAATAAAATTTACTTAATCAGTCATGTAACCAGTCTAGCTAATTTCAATAATGTATTATATCATGGAGGAGTTGGAGGTGTGGTTTGCACTCTGAAATGTAAAATGTGTAGGAACGGGGGAGTTTCAACTCAACACTTTGGCTTCAAAACAATGCCGACGTAAAAAATCAAAGCACAGAATGCGCTGAATTTGTTTCTGTCTTAGAATGTCAGAAAGGTGAAGGTTATGAGATTATATTGTATAGTGTCGGCAAATTATGAATGCTGTTTTGCAGTGTTATAACTAGTAAATTGGCTATACAGCTAATTGCAACACTGATATTCAATTCAATGTATATTTTAGTTAAACAATTTTAAACAAATGAGTTGCCTTAACTGGTTTGAATCTCAGACCTCTCGCTTCCTAAGCGAGCGTGTAGCCACTGGACCACGGGGTCTTATAAGAATCAGCCTTAAACACACCATATTATACTAAATTAGGGTTCGTTATCCTTATTAATTTCGAGATATTTTGTACACTTTAAACTAGTTGTTCAACACTGATGTAAATCATCATGGAGCTTAATGTAAAACTACACACTATTAGAAATCTTCGACCAATCGGGAACTATTTTTCTTCCCTGAGAAACTTGACTAGGTGTAGACATCTTGAAGAGTATAAGTGCATGTGCGAAATGGCGAGGCTAGCGGCGACAATGTTCATGCAGTTAAGGTAAATGCCTTGTTTTTGGTTAAAAACTAATGTTGATCATTAAATAGTTTCATGTTTATATATATACTATGTTACATTTATAATTTACCTATGCATAATTCTTCTAAACAATGTTAAAATTTAAAAAATATCCCAAATATATTTTAGATATCAAAGAAAATCCACACATTTTTGGATAACCCTCGTATGCGATACCCTCATGTATATTCCACAAAAACTAGAATAAGTACATTTAAAAAACCTTGGTAATTAATTGTGTTCACACATTAATTATACTCTATAAGAACTACAGTACATTTACATTTAGATAATATAGATGATCCGTTTGTCAGCTTACATGATCCCCTTAGAACAAGAGCAAAGGAAGTTGTTATGATCTTTTTTGTCATTGTAAGTGACCTTCTTAAATATGTTCTTTTGAAAACCAGAAAATCTCTACATACATAAGATCATATGGGCATCACGTGATCCCCTCGTCTGTGTTTCAGGTAACTAGAGTATATTTACATCTAAAAAAATCCTGGTCATTTTACGTAATCCCCTTATATATTTTACAAATAAATATAGTATGTGTACATCAATAAAATCGTGTAAATGTTTATCTAGATGATCCCCTGCTAATGTTACGTGACCCCCTCATAATGTTTTTATAATATAAAAGAACATATTTACATCTAAATGATCCCCTGGTCACCTTACCTAATCCCATTATACATATTTTAAAAGAACTAGAGTATATGTTCATGTAGATGATCTATTAGTCCTTGTTACATGATTACTCATATATATTTTATATGAACAAGAGTATGTGTACATTAAGATGATCCTTTAGTCATCTTACGTGATATTCTTACATAGGCTTATATGCTGTTTAAATGATTAGGCATATGAGTGAGAAAAAAAACATTATTAACTGATTGTATGTCTTGAAGACTTTAAAATCTACTTCAATTTTTTAGACAAACATATATATTTATAAGGAGGATTAAGCATATGCACTATTTACAAGTGACATTCACAATGATCATTTCCACTACACTATAGTCTAGTCTAATCAGGATGATAGCGCTTTATCGGAAACGCGTGCTTTATTTATAAACGGGGCTTAATATGCCAAGTGTTCTATCTAATGATTCGAATTATCGAATAAATATTTGTTCAGTATACAATTAATATTTTCAATTATACAAAATATATTTTCAAATATAGAACATACATATAGAAAATTATCGCACACATTTTTTATGATGAACAAATATTCAGTAGGAATGATATAGAAAATAAAATTAGAATTATGCAATATAAATATTGGATATAGACCAAAAAATAAAATTTATTGAATTTTGCAACGTTAAACATGCCATACTTTCATAAAACTATTACCTTAGATGAATGTCATTGACGATGGGCTGAACTTCAGACAAATATTGACAAGAAATCATCAAAAATATAGATTATATTTACAATCATATTGATCTTGAACCAATTAGGTCAATTTGGAATTACATAGAAAAAAGTGCATTGAGCTTCTGACAGGAAGCATTTGCTCTTTAGGGATCCAATTTTTTCCAGATATCTAATAGATCCTCATACATTTCGCAATTTCGTTACCATGACTTCTTTTTTTACTATCCATGCATTATCGAGGCAACGAGAGTTGACTGTATTCACTTTCCATATTATTTGTTCCAACTTTGATATTTTCAAGTGCACAATACATTTGCAAATCACTGTATGTATGCGGATCATCGTTTCTCCCAGATGGTGCTTCAAGACTTTGGTATAAAGAACCACTAATTTGGCCGGGCAAAGCGAGCTCGTTTGAATTCCTTCTTCCTGTTTGAACATGCTCATTAGCACCATGATCGTTGGTAAGACTCCGTGTCTTACAGCATCGAACTAAGAGTTCCTTCCTATAAAAAGATGTATACGCCCTGTATATTCTATGGCTAATTTAATGGTATGACTACCCTATCGGGCACTATAAGGAACTAGAAAATTGACAATATGGATCAGATATTTACTTTAAAAGACGCCTGTTTGCAAAATTTCAACAAATTTAACTTCACGGAAATCGAGTTATGGCCACTTTTCTTAACATAAGCTGTGATGCTAGAAGGGTCCTTTTCTCGAAATAAGGAACCTTTAAATAATCTACAACATAATCCTGATGAAAAATGTTTTTCCATTAAACATTGGTAAGAAACAAACAGTACCAATCTACCAACAATCCACATTTCAACATTTTTGAAATGTGTATACAAAATTTAATCATATCCCACCCATTTTAACACATATTAGCTAATAAATACCGATATTGATTAAATAATTAAAAATAAATATTTTTTCTTCCCAAAATAGATATGGGAGATGCATTAATAAAAGTTTACCCGTGTTGGGTTTGAACCCACGGCCCTAAGTTTTAATGTAGTTAACAGTTGTTTTAGCCTATTTGAATACCCTTCAATGCGGATGTAAAGCATTAGGATGAACTACCTTAAAATCATATAATAAACCATTTCATTACATCGATGATATTAATAACCATTAGTTATTGGATTTAATACGTTCTATTTATAAGGTCCCAATACATGCTATAAGTATATTAATAATTTTTCAAACAATAACTGTTGTTTATACTGTTAAGAAATATTAATATGTGTCCATAGAACACGGATCCCCTTAAGATGAAGTTGAAGTCGGCAAATATAAGCGTAAGCGATATATAAACTGCATTTAGTTAAGCCCCCCTCCCCCGTCCCCCATCCCTGTGACCTTTTGCATACTGATAAAGTAGGTCTCCTATAAAACATATTGTCTACTAATACAAGAAATTGACAGCTCAGAATAGTATTTAATTTTATTTTATAGGTCAATCCCATACAACGGAATTGTCATTGGATCTGAGACTCGCGTGTGGCACATTGTATATTTATGAAGGTTGTCTATTCCCATCTGTTTTGAAATTGCAAGACGCATGTAGATTATTGACCAATAACAATTTAAACCTGCTCAGAAGATTTTACGACAAAAACATAAAATCATCTGCAACGATCTTGAGCCTAGGTCTTGCAAACGAAACACAATATCTCTCAAGGCCTTTAAAGTGTATTTATGTAAAATGTATGTACTCTACACTAAGTCTAATTGAGATCAAGTGAACAATTTTTTAAATACCATCATGTATTCAGATATAACGAACCTGACACGATCTCAAACTGAAACATTAACTATACGACAAAACCACGTAGTTTAATCCCCTACTGTGACCTTGATATTAGACCAAGGAACCAGGGTTTCGATACTGGTGTTGGTAATGTGTATCACTTTATTTTATTTCGTTTAAAAAATGACATGATGAAAGCAGAGGTTATGAGCCGGACATAAAGTACACTTATTTGAACATATACACAAAGACACGCACACCGACTGACAGAGGGAAAATACTGTGCCACCCGCCCCTTTTTTCTTGCAGAGACAGTAACATAATACATTTCAGAATTCTACCTTTAGTTGACAACTTATACTTAACCTTTAAAATATATGGGTGGTTTATGAAAAAGAGTTTTGATTAATGATCTTACCGCTTGGCTAGAAAGAGAAGGATCACTATGACAACAGCAAGCAGGGTAGCAGAAACTGATGAACCTACGATTAAAGTTACATCTGTATCTGAAAATATGCATAATTAAGTCAACATTAGTAGAACAGTGAATGATACAGGTAAAGAAAATAATATTGTGAAACAAATAATGCTAGAAAAGCAAATGAAGTTGCTATAGCAAACTATTTTGCTAATAAAAAGAAATAAAGTAACAGAATGTATATGGATGTGTGCAACATTCGCTCATTTTTAAATAATAAAGCACTACTCGATAGTCACCCGAAACATTCACAATAAGGTTAAAAATGTTTCGGTTTTTTCAAACATTTACATGCACAATGGAAAAACACCAGGTTGCATTATGTTTACAAAAAGATGGACTTTTTGGTTCAGTGGGTAAAACATATGTAACTATATGTAACTATGTAACTGATTTGTTCAAACTACGAATTAGCTCTTGTGATTAATACAAATATCTAGCTATGTCACTGAGTGCATTAAGATTCATATACAATTAAAAAGGAAATAACACTGTCAAAAATTCAATTTTGTTTGCTAATGTGTCTTTTACCAATGGATGATGATTCATTAGAAGACTCTTTCTTTTCGTCAGCTTCCGTAACAGGTGTTTTTGACGTTTTTGGCACTGTCATTGTTGAGTGCGGTAAAGTTGTTTTAATCTCTGAAAGTATTGTAAGTATTTATAAGTTAAGACATTGTGTACATACTAGAAAAGCAAATGAAGTTTCTACAACAAACTGTTTTGCTGATCAGTAATAAACAAAGTTACGGAATGTATCTTGATGTGTGCAACAGTTCCTCCTTTCTAAATATTAAAGACCTACTTGATGTATTCAAAGTTTACTTAATAATTTTCTGCTTCGCTTGTGTGTATTATTTGCTATATTTCACACCCTCAATTCTAACCAGATATGTGTTTCAATGCATTGATATGATTTACAACAATAAAGGAAAATATACCGAGTCTATAAAGCAATTACATGCGCAACTGAAATCATGAAGTAAAAAGGTTAAAATGTTTCGATCGTTTGCGCAATAGCCAATTTTCAAACACCAGGTTGCATGATGTTTACTGAAAACTGGACTTTTCAAAATAGTATGTTCAGAAGGGAAAACATATGTGTACATATATGTAACAGATGTTTTAAAATTACGATTTGGCTCTTGTGAGTAGAACAAATATCTTACTATGTCACTGAGTGCATTAAGGTTTATAAACCATTCCAACAAGATCAATACTTAAAATAGGAACAAAGTTAAAATTTCAATTATGTTTCCTAATTTGTCTTTTACCATTGGATGATGATTCATTAGAAGACTTTTTCTTTTCGTCAGCCGCCGTAACAGGTGTTTTTGTCGTTTTTGGCACTGTCATTGTTGAGTGCGGTATAGTTGTTTTCATCTCTGAAAGTGTTGTAAGTATGAACAAGTTTAAACATTGTCCAAAAGGTTTTGTTAAAATCATATATTATATGACAACAATAAGCCATCCAGGACACAGCAATGATAAATGTAACATAACTAAACAACAAAAATACTATATTATAAAATACTACATGAGGCCCACATGGAAGATTTGGTAACCAAATGTGTAGCTTCAGTAAATAAAAACATTACTTACTTACTTACTTACTTACTTACTTACTCACTCACTTACTTACTTACTTACTTACTTACTTACTTACCTACCTACCTACCTACCTACCTACCTACTTACCTACTTACCTATTTACTTACTTACTTACTTACTTACTTACTTAATTACTTAATTACTTACTTACTTACCTAATTACTTACTTACTTACCTACTTACTTACTTACTTACTTACTTACTGAATGTAATACACATACTGCGTTTATCGCTTAAATATTACTTATGTTTACATAAGCAATTTACTTACCGCAAGCATAGGTTTTGATAAATTATAATTATGATCTTTTCTTGCTTATTAACGATGTTAATCGCATTACAATTGTGTGATTTTAATTTTACCTTACTCAAGTATTATTAGATTCGTTACATAGGAAACAGGCAATATATTATCAACAAGACTTGTGTAATGGTTCTGATTTTCAGAAATGCTTTAAAAGAGGTTTTACCATTGCAGAGAATATATTTGCTTGTGACATCTTTGGAAAACTGTAAAACATAACCGAGGGAACTATTGTATTTCAAATATCCATGACTGATGTCAGACGAATTTTCCCGGTATTCTACAATAAGTATAAATAAATAGTTCTTTAAATAAGCTGCTTGATGGCGTAATTTATATAATCCAATAAAATTTCCTTTCAAGCATAATAAATAATGACAAATTTATAACGTAACATAAAACATTCGGTGCCTTCAACTCGAAAGGTTTGATTATATGACAAAAGTAAAATTAGCCCTTATCACGCTAAATATCTTTTTAAATAGACAAAAAGCACTTGGGTAATAGTTAGTCACAGATAAATTTTATCCATTAAAGCCGTGGTTTTTTCGAGGACCCTGCAGAAAAGTTTGAGTTGTATGACGGATGATCCAGAAATATACCCTAATTAAGTCATAAATTCAACAAAATTTATTTAAAGTTCATATATCAAACACCATATAATTGCGTTATATATCCTCAATAATAGAAAACAAGAATTATAACAATTAAACATAATTATTATACATACAGCATACATAGCAACCATAGTAATGCGTATGTTATCACAGCGTCATGAGCAGTGACGACAGGAACATACTAAAATGTTTTTAAAGTATGTGTCGCTGTATGCAATATGAGGTCGATGCTGTATAACCTATTGAGTGACCAATTATGTTCTTATACCATAAGGGGACCTTTGTTGTACAACTCTGTATGTCATTCACCGTAAATGTGATATTAACTCAAACCTATGACTATTGAACTGTTCTTTGATTTTATTGTGTGTATGCTGGGGGATAAAAATCATATGTATCTTAAACTTGAAGGGATAAAATATGTTTTTCTTTTATTTATATCATTTGATAAGATGAAAATGTGGATGATATAAAATCAGATTATAAATGTAACAAACAAAATGTACGAAAATAGATAAAGTGTTTTAGTTTAAAACAGCACACCTCCAGATTCATGCTAATTTTTCATGAAATTTTGAAAATGTATTTTATTGTAAAGTAACCAAAAGAATGCAATTAAACATTGCCAATTGCACTCAAACCCATTTTTAAATTACCAAAAAGAGGTCAAAATATAAAAGTAGCCAGTATTGCGTTAGTAAAGCAGTAGAAATCTAGTTAGAAATGCTGCAGAATTACTATTACTAGAATTTTGAATCTTTTTACGTTTTCTAAAATTTTAATACATTTTTCTTCGGTTTGATTTTATTAAAATAGTTTTGCTCATCTGGAGGTGTGCAGCTTTAAGTTTTTTCACTATTACCATTTAAGATTGGTTCCTGTCTAACTCGATTTTAAAATTATGCATGATTTTCAATAATATGACTTTAAATAGATAAATATTAATAACATAAATAAACATATACGACGCATTCCGAGGTATGTTAAAATAATATTGTTTGTGTCTGTCACCAGTAACTATAACAGTAATTGGTTGTTTACTAATTTGTGCATCACTATTATCCCCGGAATTACGAGCGCGCCGCCATTATTTTTAATATTTTACTCTTTTAACTAAACAATATACCACGTGATTATACACCTTGTACTGTCTGAATAGCAAATAGTACAGAGCATGATCAGACGACACAGGTGTGCTGGCAGAGCTAGGTCTGCACTAATCGCATAGTTTAAATCAGTTGCCATCAGCAATATGATGGTTAACATGATTAAATTATTTAATAAATAATTATTTATTCAATAATAAATAACTTAACGTAAATAACTAATTTCATAATGCAAGAAGTATTTGAGAATATAATTTATAAGTAATAATTTGTGAAAAAAATGCGTACAATTTTCTTCTTTAATTTGCAAAATCATTAGCATCATATAAAACAAATTCTTTATCATGAGTTATAAATTCACTTGCAGTAAATCTGATCTGTTTTAATTTGGATTTTATTAGCTTGGTGTTTTTGTTTGCGTTTACAAATATTCTTTTGAAAACAGGAAATCATCAAATACCATTATCGTTGTAAATTACATCACTCCACACGATCCCTGTCCAGCCGTATTTGGCCACGAAAGTCACGTTCCGCACGTCTTCATATCCAATTGGATTACCATGTATTTGAAAACAAATGGTTGCTGCGTCCCTCCAACTTTTCCTATTCTCAAATAATCTGATTGATTGGTCTGAATCTTAAACGATACAGAAAATTATAAATGTGGAAATTTACAACATAACTTTTTTATTGTATAAAGAATAAAATTAGAATATAATATCAGACGTTTAACATATTTGTGTTTGCTACTGATTCAGTTTGCATTGCAGCAGTATATTTTAGCAAGGTACGAAGACCGGTGGAGACATTTGAACTTCATGGATTCCTGATGTCATCTTTTCATCACCGTAAATTCACAAATTTAACTTCGTGAATTCACATTTTCAACATATGAAATTCATGAATTCACGATTTTAACTTTACATTCACGATTTCAACTGCTCGATTCACGATATCAAATTCACAAATTCACGCACGATTTCAACTCCACGAATCAAAGTTCGCGATTTCAACTTCACGAATTCGCGATTTCAACTACACGAAATCACAATATCAGTTTTACAAGTTCGCGATGATTTATCTTTGTAAATTCAACTTCATGAACATGTTTTCATGTTTATGGCTTCACGGTTTCATCTTCATGAATTACAGATTTCAGCGTTACAAAGTTGACAATGTGAATTCACAATGTTGAAATCGTGAATTCACGAAGTTGAAATCGTGAATTCACGAAGTTGAAATCGTGAATTCACGAAGTTGAAATCGTGAATTCACGAAGTTGAAATCGTTCAAGACGTGAATTTATAAAAGGAAAGTTAAAATAGTGAATTTATGTAGTTAAAATTATGAATTCATTATTATGAAATCTTGAATTCGTGAATTCTGTATCTTTATTGTTGAGGTTGAAATTGAAAATTCTTGAAAATGAACCCGGGAATTTAAGGAGTTGAAATCTTACCATCGGTCTTTTGTAGCAAGGTCACATCAGTTTAATCATACAGAACGTTTGTAATGTCGTTTTTCATTGATAAATTGTTACGTTTTTATTAACTTTCCACACGACTGCTGTCAATTTATAAAAACAATCGTTTTTCCATAAATAAAGTAATTATTCTGTATTGTAAATTCGTTATGAAGATGACTGACATACAGGTTATATGGTTGTAAGTAAGTAAATTGTTTATTATTGTGACATGTTCATAGTCAAATATACATATAACAATCATATATGTGTACAATTATAGCACCCAGCCCAATGAGCCTATCAGTCACCAATGTAATGTTTTTTTTATTATGCATCATATAAAACATAGAATGTAGAAATCATGGTATAAACAAGTATAGAGTGTAAGGTGGTTTTAACTAATGCGTTGTTCACACGTGTGTATGTACACAGTTGTTTGAAATATAACGACTTAGGTTATATAAGTTAACACTTCTATACTGAACCATATGATCGGTCGGACATCTTTATGACTAATAATGTATAGTACTTTTACGCACATATAATAAGAAATTAAGAAAAAAATGGAAGCAAAGTAATGACTTCGAATTTAAGCCAGTGTTTCAAATTATATATGCATTTAAGTTATTAATGCGCTCGTGGCAATTTGTAACGATTGTCTATTAAAGCTTAACAAATGTGTCGTAATAGTCACTTGGTAACTTGTTTGTCCTTATCTTTAACTTCATCAAATTACATTTCAAAGTTAATGTATCCAAATGTTGAGTTACAAAGAAATCGAAATAATTCTCAAATTACAGAGTAAGTCATACCTGACAAATATCATAGCTGTAATATGAAACAAAACTCACCAGACCTACAAAATACCCAAACTTTGTCGGAACAAAGTCTCCATTGATATGTTTTACTTCCTGCTTTGTCAATAACTAATCTCAGACAGCTTTTGTTGTATTCTTGTTTTTCAGGAATGTGTCTAGAGTCTACAGAAAAGGATATCAACACAGTATCACTTTGTATACCTCTATATGAATGACAATCTAAATTTTGAGAATAAAACTTTAGAAAATTGAACCATACATTTAGGAAATGCATACATATTTGTCCGTGTCTTATGGTGGCATATTTCTGCCACCAGATTAACATATAACCAACTAGTTAATTAAAAGGTAAACTAGATACGTAACTTGTTAACCTCTTGATCAACTAGATAGTTATGTGGTTAAGTAGTTACGTAACTTGTTTTTTTTTTTCAATAAATAACGGAAAATAAATGCATGTTAGTACCTAAAACTGCCATTTTATTATTTTACCAGCTTAATATTAAGTGGTTGACTAGTTACGTAACTAGTTAACAACTTACAACTTATCCAAAATATCACTAACTGGTTAACTCGAACCAAGAGCTGTGAGGGGCAAGTACTTTGAAGTTCTACTTTAAATAACAATTTACATGAGTTAGAATAAAGTTCTTTAAAGAACGTAATTCTTACCGTTGTGAGATAGCATTCTGTACACTGACGTGACTTTGTGTCCGCCACAAGCAGCATTGTGTGTGTCAGTACACCCAGAATTGCAGCCAAGCTCTCTTATGTCTTTCTCAGGTTTAACTTGCATGCAATAACACTGTAAATAACAAAGATCAATGTAAATTATATAATTATGATAATGTCATTGTTAAAAATAGAAATCAAAACATGATGCAAAAATTACTATAATCATACTAACGAAAGTTTGCAAGCAAATGGGATTTTTGAAAGTAGGAGAGAGAGAGAGAGTTGAAGGTGAGGTGGAGGTTGCATGTCAAATGTTCAACCAACAATACTGATTTTGAAGAAGAAAAAAACTTATGTTTTTTCTCGCTTTCCTTTTAATATGAACTAGATATTTGGCAACTTTTTATCAGGAACCAGCTATCTAGTTCCGTATATAATTTTTAAACTTTAACAACTTTCACGTTCTGTCATGACATTAAGGTTTGTTTTTGTTATGAGCTTTAACAAAGATGTGTTTTTATTGTCAGCAAATCAAGTAACTATAAAACGTTCCATATTAAATCATTCATTTGCTATTTTCAGTAAATTTAAGGACTCTTTCACGCTTTCACCATAATCTACAAATATTTAAGTACATTGTTATGTTGTTTGTTTTTTTTACAATATAATTATTATGCCCATCACATGTATATGTAGCTAAATACAGATTACGAAAAGATAAACATCAGATGATATCAAACTCAAAATAATTGCCTTATACATTCTGAATCATATGAATAAACAATTTTATATTCTTTATCTTTCAAGTTAACTGACTGCATGGAAATTATCTACCATTTGTCCATCAATCCCGATAAAAGGTGTGTGTGAACAAGCAGAATAGCACCGTCCGATTTTCGATGTACCAAGTTGTATTTTGATTATGTTTAAGTCCTCTGAACTCATGCACCATGTATAAAACAGCATATACTTATTGCTTTTATTAAAATCTCTTGCAGAGAATAATTCTGGATGATTGTATTAAATGTATTGACAAAATGTTAAGTGAATGTTCGTCAGCAAATTTAATATTTATATATGCTATTATATAATATTGATATGATATGACATTAATATGATAATATATTTTAATATTTTTACAGAACATTTTCACCAGGGACCGAAATACGAGTAAGACGACATTCCCAATCCAAAATAGCCTCATTTTCCTAACTAAAAAAGCAGCATAAAATTCAAACTGTTTCAAATTCTGAAAAAAGAATGAATTAACCCTTTACTAAATGAGCATGTTATGAAAAATGGCCGTTTTCATTGAAAAGCCTCCTAATACAAGTTCAAACTGATATGAAACTATGAAAAATGCTACAATACTGATGACACTTGGCACAAATGTTGACTGGACCATTTGCTCTGTGCGTCGTGCTAACAGCAAGCTCAATCTTAATTTTTATGTTCCATGGCAACGGGAGACGTCTCAAAATTGCCAAAAATCACTATTTTGCATTGGTTTTTATATTGTTTTTTTTTTTTGTTTTGTTTTTTTTCATCAAAACTGATTTCAAAGTGCTGCAACTTGAAATAGAGTAAAAGCCTATTCAGCGTTGGTAACACATTACATTACGATCGACCTGAGGCCATTTTTAGCCTGTCACATGTCCAAAATTGTCTTGGCGATGAGGGGGGCTGCCGCTCCCTTCAAACCCCCGAAACAGAAGGGGAACATCCACCTTCTGGCAACCCCTTAATGTACCTTTTTGATAGGGGCGGCGCCAAAAAGTGATCACATTTTTATCAACATTTCTCAAACGAAGAAACAGTATGTGGGGCCTAAATAGGAAATATTTTCATTGTTTGAAGCCTCAAATAGGCGGTGGTGAAAAGCCGCCAAAACACGTCTATATGAGGTAAATGGTTAAAGAAATGACAGGTTATATGATAATTAACATGTTAGAAAACGTAAGTAATGTATGAGGTAGATTTCATTTTTTTTAAATCCTCAATTTTCCCAAAATGTAAAATTATTTTTCCCAATTTATTCCTTGGTCCTTTTCCCAAAATAGCTATATTATGATATTGATATGACATTATATGATATGATATGATACGATACGATATGATATGATATAATAAACTTGTATGATAATATAAGTATATGATATCATAATATGATATGATAAAATAAGCAGAGCTGACTGTGCTACAATTATTCAATGGTAATTATTGTACACAGATTAAAATGGTACCGGTTGACCGGATCCAAGCGATTCTCATCCGCATGCTTTTGCTCTATTAGGCGTCAAATTGTAACATTTTTGTTTCGAAAACCTGACGATCAAAGAATGGTATAAATGTACGTTTGTGCTAGAATCAATAGACCAATTATAAGCTCTCGTTTTTCCAATCATAACATATATGTTTATTATTTCAAACTGATTATTTAAAACGAATTACATTTACTTGAATTTACCTATGTATTCAAACAATGTAGTTTGTTGATAGTAACCGACCCATACTTCTTGTTCTGTAGCTTGTCCATTCAAATCAACGATAAGGTTTTTGTGTCCATATTGTATGGTAGGTGTTGCTACACGAGTATTGCATTCATCTCTTTTCCTTGACCATGTCAGTGATGAATTTGAAACATAGTAGGACCATGAAGCTGAATTGGCATTAAAATACAATTATTGCCTTTTGCTTTAGATGTAACTGAAGTAACTTTTTTTACACATAGAAATATGGCATGGCTATGTGCGTGAGATATTTTTTGGGTGTCCTATGAAGACCATTGCAAAATGTTTGACACTTTTATCGGGTTTTACGTCGCACCAACACTTTCAGATAATATAGTGCGGATGTACGCCGTATAAAACACACCTATGGATGTTTGTAAATCCAAAAGTTTACCATTTGCATGTTTAAATTCAGCTTAAGTCGCTGCTAGGGGACGTGGACGGTAGTTGGCACTTTACAGTACCGTCCATAAACATGCTCAATCAAACCGAGCCTGTAACATTTTCAATTTTGCCGTTTTAGACTTTCTTTAGCGATTCCTATTTTCTATATTGTACAGATTTACTGGTGAAGGAAGACCTCAGGTGCCATTTCGTGCATAATTAGAGGCACAAATGAGCACCGGAGTAGGAAAACCTGGCTAGTTAAATTGGTCACATGACATAATTCATATACACTGGCGGTACTGGTACCAACAGCATTGAGGTTCAAGTGGTTTAAGGCCAACGACCTTAACAGCTCGGCCACGGACTCCCCATTGTAAATGGAAGTTTCATTAATACCGACTTGTCATCTTATAAGGAAACTATAAGTTGTTGGAGACATTTAAAATTAAAAATCAAGAAGCAAAGAAAAAAACATAAATCAAAGCTTACAGACGCATGCACCCACAGGTTCGAATGAAGTTCCAACAAAGTTCTTAATAAAAAAAAACAACAAACGTTGATATGGATATGTTGATGTAAACAACTGTATTCGTTAATCCCTCACCCCTTTGTCCTATGCAAACTTAAGCATAAAGAATTCAGTATTACGTCGAAAAAGTCCTATGTCTTTACTAAGTCCGAATATACATATAGCTTGAAGCCATATAGTTTATTAATATTTCGATTATTAAACATAATATTTTGTCAATTCATGTATTGAAAAAACGGGGCGATGAATACTAATTTTAAAACGAAAAGAGGAAATGAAAACAAAAGATAATTTACCTTGAAATACGGTGACCAGGACAGATAAAAAGAATAAATCCATTTTCATGATTCAAATTTCATATTCACTTCCTTTTAAAACGTCTTTGCCGTAAATGTTACAATATAAAATTTTGAAAGTTTGTATAAGTGTAGCTGCAGTTACTGGCGGATGATGCACTTGAATGGTTATATTTATCTACATTAATTATAGTTAAATCTTAATTGTCGTAAAATGTAGAAGAAACTTGAAAGACTCGAAAAAATAAGGTTAATGTCAACCTAGATCGCCCAACTTTCGTGATTCTCCGTGGTTTAAATATATAATGTAAAAAATCATAAAAATTAAGATAAAAATAAATAAAAGTACAATTTTACATTCATTTTTGTTTGTTGTCTCGTTTGTTGTTTTTCGTTGTTTTCGTTGTTTTTCAGTTGGTTTTGTTTTGTTGTTGTTTTTTTGTTGTTTTTTTTTTCTTTTTTTTTGGGGGGGGGGGGGGGGGGGGGGGGGTTGCAAGTTTTCAAAAATACCTTTAACGATATCATTATACAATGTTTATTGAAAAATTGTTCATTTTGACTCTTCCCTTTCATTCGACAAGGAGTGCATGAATACATGAAGTGTTGAATTGTGTTTCTCAATCTCAAGTGATCAGTACTGTTCCCTTCTTTGTATAATTTGACAAAAGACGCATAAACGGAAACTAGCTTGTTAAGTGTGTTCGTATGAAAAAAATTTCCGACCGTGGGCGGGTGAGGGGTGAAAATGAAATGATTTCATTTGGAGTTTTTGTTGTCAATGTAAGAAAGTTTTCTTAATCGTAAAATTCTTATTCTTAACATTAACTTAAATTTTTTACAAAGCAAGTCAATGCATATGATTTATAATGGTCATATTGACAGAAACTGATTTATCTTCGGCGGATTTGCCTTACTTGTTTCCGAGCACTCATACTAACAAAATGTTTATAAAATTTAAAAGATCCTATATGTTGTATTTAAGGTGGTAACAACACTTAAGTGAAATTTTATATATGTATATAATTATTCTTCTAACATTCAATAATATGTTAAATATGTACTGCAAATGTTTATTCACATGGTAAGTAATCATTAAAATATTTGCATTCTTTTCTTTTTGAAAATTTGGCATAGACTTTATCGAAAACAGATTTCTAATAACCTCCCTTTTATTTACATGAACTGTAAATTCGGTAATAGTTTTGCAAGAAATATTTATTGAACTTACAATATTGATAAATCTTCATTTGAGCATCAGATTTATCATATAAAACCATAAAGAATTGAGTTTCAGGATATTTAATGCTGGTTAACATTAATATAACGATGCTACTCAATGGTAAGTACTGGTATTCACGCAGTTTCAGGGACGAATTTTTGATGTAAACATTTGTTTCAAAATCTCTGCTATTACTTTCACATATTTTTTCTTCTGAATGATTATTGCAATGTGCAGCCTTTTTAGATAATCATTAGAAGTATTCAACAACTTACATATTGTGTGCATTGCAGATAGTATGTCATACGTGGTGGTTAAAACCTTACAATAGAAGGAAATTATTTATAGTCAAGGCCTGATATGAGCGCTCGTTTCCAATGAGATAACAAATCTGGAGATGAGAGCATCCGTCAGAAGCATCGCAAAAAACAAAATTACATAAAAGTTCCAGACTCGGTTTGCTCGAGTCTGTTCATAGTCGTTAATAGAAAAGTGCAATATCCCTCATGCATCTATAGTACCGGCTTAAGCGGTATTCAATATTCAAGACATAATATGCCGGAATCAATGATCCCAAAGGAACAGAAAAATAGGTTTTACAACTACCACGCGGCACTTGACACCTGTAGTTGTAAAGTATTAAAATCTGGTAAAGCAAGCCGCGTGCTTATCCTGACACATGCTAGTAATGATATTGATGGGTTATACTTCAAAGTTCATATGTTTCACTCTGAGAAAAAGTCAATGACCATTTTGTTGTATTGTGTCAATTTAACTAGGCAAGCATGGGAATGAGTTTTCTAATTGACATGGTTTTTTCTTACTTATTGAAATGAAAGAACTTTTGATAATCAAATTTGCATTAAAAACTTGAACAAGAGCCACCGCAAGCAGGACCACTCTCAACTTTTTATACCCAAAAAAGCAAACTCGGCGTATATATGTATTATCATGCACTTGGTTGTCTGTCCGTCTGTTCGTCTGTTAGTAGATTCCGTGTCCTGTCTGTATCGTTGAACAGGTGGAAGGAAATTGAAACTATACTTGCAGAAATAGTAACTATAATCAGATTATGTGCAGAGGACTATTGACACTTTGTATTTCGTATCAATTTTAAAATTTCGTAATCTCTCTGTATATTTTGAACGCATTGAAAGAAAGTAAAACTTTTTGGCAGAAATATTACTTCTAATAAGAACACGTGCAGAACACAGGTTTGGATTTCCCGAGATCAAAATTGGCCCACCCAGGGGATTACTTGATTTATATATACTTATATAATAAAACAGATTTAAGTTCGTTGTGTGTAACTACAATGTCTAGGGATCAAATATTTAGAATTTATCATAGCAATATTGACTTTTACAAGACTGATATTAATCATGCCCCTTCGTTCAATATTAGCACCGCCCCAGGAGTCAATTGATTTATATTGACTTATATAGAGGAAATACATACCGTTTAAGACTAACTGTGTGAAACAACGATGCCATGGGCTTAACTTTTTGGTATATAACATCACTTTTGTGGACCACAACATAACTAGTATCAATCATGCCCTTTGGGTCAATATTTGCCCCGCCCGGCGGTCCCTTAGTTACTACAGTTAGTAAAGGAAAGCATATTTCAGTCTTACTTTGGTGAAACTACAATGCCTAGAGTTTAGATATTTGAGAAGTACCAATGCCTTGTTGGCCTCTACAAAATAATCATGCCCGATGGCTAAATAATGGTCCCACCCCTGGACTAATAGTAATTCACTCATAATATGTAAATATCTATACATTTCTTAAACTCTATAAATTTTTATTATATAGCTAGAATAAATCCAATAATCATAAAAAGGAGCTAACTTGAATTGCTTTAACAAATGGAGATAACTAGAAATACAAATTTTGAGTTACATTGGCAAAAGGAAAAAAACAGAAATACAATTCTGGAGTAACATTGGCAAAGCGAAAAAAACTAAAAATATCAATGTGGACTTGCTTTAACAAAGGAAGATAACTAGAAAAAGTATTTGGAGTTACATTGGTAAAGGGAAATTAACTATAAATACAAATTTTGACTTGCTTTTACAAAGACAAATAAAAAGAAGTTTCTGTCGAAAACCTTTAATACAGGAAAAAAGGCCTTTTCGTATAGGACACATGTCTCGACCAAAATTAATGTTATGTCTTTATAAATTAAAGATTTCTACAATGTCAAAGACGAATTTTGTTTTGTATTTTGTTTGGTCGAGACCTGTGTTCTATCCAAATCTTTCAATTCATCGTCGAAAATTGATACAAAGTACCATACTTCAAGCGTATTTTTTGCACAAAACAGCCGTATTTTTTTACAGTTTTCCATACATATCAACAAGCTGAGTATGTCCTTCCAGAAGTTAATTTCATTTTTTAAAATATTAAAGTTCTATAATATACAAAAAAACAGGCAGATTTTATTCAGAAATAAATTAAGTACTTTGTTAAGCGTCATCTTTATTAAAGTACATTTGTCAGCCTGTAACAGGGGCTCGACTATGAGGACTTTTAATTATTTAAACACAAAAAGAAGAAGAAAACCTAAGAACAGATACGTGTTCAACAGGTGTTCCAACAAGGTTTTTCAAAAATTGTTGATAACAATATCGACATGTTGTTGTAAAAGATATTTTTTTATAAACTGAACATCTTTACATCTCCTGGAAACTTAAGGATAAAAGCTGCGTATGGAGACCATCGAATTTACATAGGTTACACTTTAAACAACGTGACCATTAAACATGTTAAACATGATCATTCTATAGATTTGATAAATAATCATTTGCATGTATTAAAAATTCGAGTGTAATTTATTAGAGTAAGAAAGCAAAATACACCGAAATTTACCTTGAAATATTGTAACTAGGGTAAAAAGAATAAAAGTATCCACTTTCATCATTCTCATTTTAACTTCTCTTATTTCAAAGAAAATATTGTTTAAACTTTATAAAGATGTGGGTGTATAATCATAAGTAGCTGCACACTTAAGATGTATACTTAATCTAATTAGTCACTCCTTTAATTGCGTTGTTTCGGAAAGTGTAAGCTATATTAACTTATATTGCAATATATCGAAACCAAATTATCGTATAACAATCAACAACGAGTGTCAAAAGTACAGAATATAAATTACAAGCACGTGCAGGATCATTTCAATCGGTATAAAAATCTAAATTTAAAACAAAATCCTATTTGACAATATAAATATATAAACATTCTTTAGCCTTTAGAATGTGGGTCGTCAAAATATCTTTGTACCTTAAATTAGCAAAAATAATTTAAATTTGAACAATTTTGTTTCCTAAAATTTAGCAGGGTAAAAGAAACAAATTATTAAATAAATTAGAGGTCACTGTTCTTTTTGTAATATCTGCACCTGTATGTGTGACCGGTATATTTCGCCTCTTTCCATGTGGTCCATTTACAAATAAGCTCCAATATAACGAGGAACAATATGAGAATCATTTTAAATGATTGTTTTCAATTAAAATGTAAATGATTGTTTTCAATTAAAATGTTTTGGAATTTTATTGTACAGCTGAGATATTCCAAAACAATACATTTTAAGGGGTGACCAATATGAAATTTGTTTCAGTGTAAATTTTATATACTAATAGCATATGAAACAAAAACGAGGTAAAGACGAATGAAACCTTGGTTCGGCAAATAATGATTTATGTCGACATACATCACTGAACGTTCTAACACGTTGAGAAATCGAAGATAATTATCATTAATGCCTTTTGCGGGACCGTGACGACATTAAGAGTAGAAATAGTTTACCAAAATTATCAGGTACTGGTAACCTTTCATTATGTTTAATCCCGTGATGGGCGTCTCTATGTTTGCAAAAGTTCAGGTCATCAATCGAGAGAAAACTAACTCCAGCTGTAAATTTGAGGGAGGTAGTGTGATGGCGTTGGGAGCTATGAATTATATGGGCACTGGGTTTCTGTCGCATGTTTGAGGCCGACACAATTTATACACAATGATACATTCAAGATTCTTGAAAACTATGCTTTACCTTCGATGCATTTGTTGGGGGTATGGTAACAATGTCATCTTCCAAGATGATGGAGCTACCTGTCATAGCGCAAGACTTGATGTACACTGTAAGGAGGAGAGTGATTTCCAGTGTTAAGAATGATTGAAAATATGTGCCAGATTGTGAAAATTGAACTCAGAAATAAGCATAGCCATAATCTCCGTGAGCTGGAGCAAAATGTGAAAGTTGTTTAGGATTCAGTACACACTGAATTATGTGAAAGAATTGAAAGAAGCATGCAATGAAGAATTCAAGCTATAATAAGGGCCAGAGCAGAGAAGATATGTACTTTCATAATTGACATCATGTTGATGTTCACTGTTTTCTAATTTTCTTGTGTTTGTGATTATACAAAACTAAACCAATATTTTTCCAAAGTTGATTATCATTTAACTTTTGATTTATGTTTTACATATTTATTTGTATACACAACATCAAAAATAGACTTTTGGGGGACAAATGTATAAAGAGAGCATTCTGTTGGCATTTTCGAGGCAAATATCGATGACTGTCGGTGTGTTAATTGAATAACCTGTATCATTTACATGTACGAGGATTGATCAAAAAGTTCTCGGCCCAATATACTTCCGGTACTCAGAGAACCCAACTAATGGTCTTACTTTTCAATATAATCGCCCTATACATCAATGCACTTTGCTCACCTGTTCTCCAATTTGTTTAACCCTCCAAAATAGAAGTCTCTATTTTGGTCCTCAAAGAACGAATTGACCGCCTCCATGACATCTTCATTGCTTCGAAAACGTCTACCAAGAAGCTTGGTTGCCAGTTTCAGAAACAGCTAGAAGTCAGAGGGGCCAAGTCCGGAGAATTTGGGGGATTGGGAAGAATTTCAAAGCCGCAGTCAGTTGCAGCTGCCATCGCAACTTGGAATGTGTGAGCTAGCGCATTGTCGTGCAGGAGCAGAACGCCTCGAGTATGTTTGCCCCTCCTTTTACGCGCGATTTGTTGACGCAGACGTCTCAATTCGTCTGCGTAAACGTACCGTTTATGGTACGACCTTGCTCAAGATAGTCAATCATGACTATCTCAAAAAAATGAAGCCATCCTCTTCCCTGATGATTGCATCCTCTTGAATTTCTTCGGAGGGAGTGAGCCAGGGTGCTTCCAATCTATACTCTGTTTTTTGAATTCTGGATCGAAGTGATGGACCCATGTTTCATCCTGAGTTACGACTCAGGTTCATTCTCGTAGCGAGACAACAGATATCTTGAAATGTCAAGTCCGTTTCTGGTCGTTAGTCAATTGTCTGGGGACCCAGCTAGCGGAAACCTTTGACATACCATAAACATCAGTTAGAATTGCCTAACTGAACCAAAGTTTATACCCACCTTCCTAGCAATGCTTTGCGGGTCTCGCCTTTTGTCGCACATGACCAGATGGTGCACAGCTTCGGCAGTTTCATCGATGGTGGCTTCGTTTGGCCGCCCAGGCCGCTCATCATCTCCAATGCTCTCCCTGTCCCTCTAGAATTCAGCAGCCCATTTTTTCACAGTGTTATAGGACGGGGACGTGTGTAAATGTCAGTGTAATGGCTAAAAGTATCTCGGGTCGAGAATTTTTTTATCATACCTCGTATGCATTTAACAAATATTAAAAGAATATTAAGTTATTCGTTCGGAAAAGACGTGAAACCATACAAAAGACATGGAACGTTTATGCATTTGAAATAATTTAATAAACTAGTCTGTTACTATGAATAGTATTTATAAAATACACTCATTGGGCCAACATTGCACATACAAATTGGTTTTCATTTTTACCATCGTGCTTTAAGAATGTTTTAAATGCTTCCGAGGGATTACATTTTTCCAGGTATTTATACATCACAACAGCAGGTGTCAAATGCTGTGTGGCAGCAGAAAAAAGTTACCCCGTACTTTACTTCAGTGTTGTTATATTTTTCTGGTCCTTCGGGATCATTGAGTCCGGCACTTTTTAGTGTTGAGAATTGAGTACCGCTAAAGTCTGCGCTAGGTGGAAGTGAGGGAAGTTGCACTCTTTCATTATCCCTCATGTACAGACTCAACCAAACCGAGTCTCCAATTTTCATGTAATTTTCCTGTTTTAAGGGCTTCCGATGGATCACTTTTTTCAGATATTTAAGAAATAAGCATGTCTTCAATAATGCTTTTGTAATCAATGTCACAAAGAGAGTATGATATTTTTACGTTCATTCCTCGACGTTGTGTTAAACGGCCTCATAGCATAGACAGAATTTTCCTTACATGAACAAATGATAAAATATGGGTCGACATAACTCTAAGCATTGTCTCAATTATAGCTATAAATAATGCATAACAATATATAATATATTTCATAAATTAAATGCTTTTTGTGTTAGTTTATAAATTGCGCTTGTTCCTATTCAAATATTTTACTGAAAGCTAGCAGTGTTATAGACATTGTCAACTTGTTTTTTTTTAAACGGATCAGAGTTGGTATGATTGTAAGGGCTTTCTTCAATGGTGTTAATACCAATTGCATGCTTGCCAAATTTAATCACGCAATTCATTGATGCCTCTTCCGTTGTGTTGTATGTATCATCAAATTCTCGCATTTCAGTTTTAGATTTATCATTTGTAAGATCGTAGATAGGAGTGTTTTCAGATTGAAGTTTATTATATGTATTGTCTTGTTTCTTTTTTAATGCTTGTCTATCGTTACCAGCGATGTCATATGCTGCTTTTTTAGTGTTTCCATCTTGGTCAGGCATGTTGTAAGTGTTATCAGGTGAATCATAATTTCCTTTGAAAGATGCATCTATACATTCATCATCAACATAAACGTATGAACTGTTTAAATTCGAATTACGGCTTCTATTCTTTCTTTGCATTTGATCAGCTACCTCAGTTGATTGTTTCCCACCAGTACAGCAAATAATTTTCTTCCTATAAAAATATATCACAACAAAAAAGGAATGAAAATAATTAGACATTACTTATTGAATACTTCAGTAGACAATTATAGTTAAGCTTTTATTAATTCATATCAAAATATACTGATATGTTACCTGGTATGTGAAGATAAAAAATCTTTAGGAGAATCAATAAAATTATCTGTTATAATTCTTTATAACTCATTATTCTAAAGCCTTATTAGAATTCATCACCTAAATATATTTGATAAATATGTCCAATTTAAAAAACAAACTTTTATGTAAAAACTTTGTATTACTAAAGTAATACTGATTGAAATGAATTAAACACAAACTACATTAAGTTGTTTGCTTTTATTTATTTATTTTTTAAAAGTAATGACAATGTTTCAGCAAGCTATAAGTTTTCACAAGTAAAATGAAAACAATTGTGTTCTTATTAAGTATCAAATCAAAACTTGTGTAAGAAAATAAGGTTGAATTTTGTAAGCATGTAGAACTACTCAAAAACTCTATCACATATCAGTTAGAAAGAGTTGTAGATAATAACGTCCATGGTTTCAATGTATTGAACGGCACGTTTTAAATGTTAACAAAAAATATTTTTTAAGATCAAATCCAAATATGCAGGAGGTTTTTTAAACTAAATTTTCTCTCAAACCTTACCGTTTGACTAGAACCAGTAGGATCACTATGACAACAACAAGCAGTGTTACTGAAACTGATACCCCTACAACAACAGTTAAATCAGTGTCTGAAAAAAGATGTATAAATGTCAGTATTTGAAATAGAGTGAATGATACAAGTAAAACAAGTAATTAATAAAAAAGAATATAATGCCAAAAAAACAAAATAAAACTGTAACAGCAAATTTGCTTACGAAAAAGGAAGATATCGAATATTTGAATGTATCTGGATAAGTGCAAGCGTTTGCCCAAAACTCTAATCAATTCATTCAAAATTATACTACTTATAATGATTTTCTCTGTCTCTTTTTTTAAATGGTTTACCGAATTCAGCAGCTCAATATTAAACACCAGATATATGTTTCATTGCATTGATATGATTGACAAGAATACAGGGAAAACATTCCGATCATAAATCATACACTATTATATAAGAATTATCCAATTAATTTATGAAATTCCATGCGCAATTGAAAAGACATTAGCGTGCATAATACTTTAGAATGTAAAGACATAAGTGTATGATCTATCATTGCTGTTGTTGCTGTTTCAATGTATCAATTACTCTTAATTAATATTATGTTCGTATTGTTATTTTGCCATAAAAATGCAGTTCTATATAATGAAAAAGACCTTTTCGAAAGTGCATACAAATGTTTTCCCGTAAGATTTCATCTTTTTAGAAGCATATGTATGTAAATGATGTTTGACAAAAAAATACGATTTGGCTCTTGTGGGAAATACTAACATCTAACTATGTCGCTGAGTACATAAATATAGCACTCCAACAAGAACATTCTAGCATTCTTGTAAAATTTGTCTTATATCTTATACCACATAAGATGAGCTTTTTATCTCGCCAGTCGGCGTAACAGGTATTTTCGGCGTTTTTGACATTGGAATTGCTTAGTGTGGTTTAGTTCTTATCATCGCTGAAAGAGTTTTAAGTATTTACATGCTAAAACATGGTGTACAGTTAAAATCCTAGCATCAGGATTCATAGTCATTAATTAGATCACAATAATAAGTCATCCAGGATGCAGCAATCAAGGATGCAGCAATGCATTGAAATATGCAACAACTTAACGAAACACATGATGTTTGTTCCATACTCTTATAACCTGTATTACGGTACAAATAATATCATTATTGACGTTTAAGGATGGTCGATCAATGTCAATGGTTAGAAATTCTTAAGTTTTAAGGCTTTATCCTAAAATTGTAGGGTCTTATACAACCTGAAGAATTTTAAAATTCATAATTTATATATCAGACATGACCGAATTTAACCGTTCGGGTAAAAAGAGCGAAAGGGCAATTTAAAACATATTCTTTGATAAAGTACTTGCCAAATTTTCAATAACAAAAAGAATATATGCTTTTTTTAGAAAACTTATTAATAGTGAATATAATAATGTATTATATAACTGAAACGAATTATGAGATTAGAAAGATACTAATATACGTGTATAAAGTTTCAGTTATGTGACATTTTTAATCTCAACATAGAGAGTCTTTTAACACTGAGAAGAAATAAATGCATTCTATCTTTACTATGAATATGTTTTGTATATAAATGGTTATTATCATTGTGGCTAGTTATGAACTCACTTGTTTCCTTTCTCACTGGTTCACCTTTGGAAAGATATAAAACATATTAGAATCATGCTAATTATTAATGTTATAAAAAAACAAATAAAATTCACGAATTTAATAATCAATGTACATGTAGACTGATGCTCGCGCAAGAATTACGAATGCATACCATTATCTTGTACACAACGTCAGCAAATATTTGAAACAATACACTTGCTTTTCAAGGATTAAAAACGCGATGAAATTGTATAAAACGGAAATTTGCCTTGTTATACTTTTAAGAAGATTCATAAATTTTAAACAGGAAACATTATATAGTACCATCCACCTTATATTGTATTTAAGTTTTTATTCATATAGTTTAAGCAAGAATGTTCATAGAAATATGCTACCGTTGCAGAGAATATATTTTCTTTCGTCATCATGTTTTGAAAAATGTAAAACGTATCCTAAGGAACCCTCATATTTCAAATACCCGTGACTGATATCAGACATGTTTTTCCGGTATAATTCTAAAAAAGGTACAAATCATCTCTATTTAGACTGGTTGATTGTGTTATTTATATATATCATCGTACTTACTCTATTTGACAAGTAATAATACACGAATATATAAGAATATCTCAGTAACTACTGGTGAAAATAGCTGCATGCATTTGCTTTTTTTATGAAAACAGTAACATCATCCAAAAGTAATGCTAAATTATCAATAATTATTTCTCTGGCAGTAAATCAGTTTTTAATTTAGATTCAATTATGCCGCGAGTTGAGTTTATTAATGTCATTTCGAAAACATCAAGTACCAGTTTCTTTGAAAATTACATCGCTCCAAACGATCCCTGTCCAGCCGTATCTAGCCATGTAAGTCACATTCCGTGCTGCTTCATATCCAATTGGATAGCCGTTGTTTTGAAAGCACAGTGTCGCTGCATTCCTCCAACTTTTCAATTCTCTATATAACTCGCAGGAATGGTCTGAATCTTACAAAAAAAGAAATGAAAAAAAAAATGTGAAAAACTTGCCAACTTATTATTATGATAAAAAGGTGATTTATATTCCCACAATAACTCGCTTGATTCTGCTTTGTAGCAACTTGAGCAGAGTTATTCAATAACCTATAATAACGCAAATATTTTTTTTCGAATTCTGATTGGCTCATGTTTTTGTTTTTTATGACTATTTTTAGATTAAAATGCCATTACTTCAAAACAATTAACAAAGTTAAGAGTAAAACCGCGATTGAAACATCTATACTAGAATAACTCTTTTTATTGCACAGCGTTAGCATAGCCGTTGATAACGTGCGTTTTTACAATGATTCTTTGAAAAATTTACAGTCGCCAGGTTTTCTTATGAACTTTTTACTCAATTACAATTTGCGTTACTGTAAATTCAATTTACAAGTTGCTGACGGAATGCACGGATGAATATTGCCTTCCTGAAATAACAATAACTCTCGGCTAGCGTTTCGGTCATAGTTATCTCATTCAAACTATGTTATGCAGTATATCCCTTTACGAATCACCCCAATGCATAAAAAGAAATCTTAAGGGTTTAAAGATATACAAAAACAATAATTCTAGTTTGAAAACGACCGCAGTGTATATTTAGTTATCTTTCAAAATGCATTTGTGAAATTTAACAAGAATAAACATTTATATTGATTAAATATCAATTTAATGAAATTTGTTGCTGTCCTTGGCTTTTTTATACATCAAACGACTTTCAAGAAAAGCATACTTTTTCGTAAAAACTCACCAGATTTGCAAAATGCCCACATTTGTTCGGAACAAGATTTCCATTCATACGATTTGCTTCCATTATTTTTGTCTAAATACATTTTAAGGCAGTTATTTTTGCTCTTCTGTTTTTCAGGAAAATGTACAGAGTCTGCCGAAAAGACATAAACAGAGTTAAAGTTGAACGCCTTCTTCTAGTTTTATTTATATATATATATACTGAACCAAAAAAGAAACTTTCGCAAAGTATGTGCCAGTTGTTCAAGGGTACCACTTAGATGTACACACTTATATACATGTAGTAGCTTGTAAAACTTGTTTTGTTTGCAAAACCGGTCAGCTAATCCCAGTTTGAAAGCCCGATTATGTTTATTCAACGTAAAAATCGAGTTTCAAAAGGATTGAAAACTGTACTAACATATCTTCATTTAAACTTGGAGAAAGTTTCTTTTTGTATAATTCGAAATCCGAATAACTTTACCTTTTCTTACTTTATGCAAATTATATCTCATATTACATTTTTAACCCCGTAAAGTAGAAATGTTAATTTACGATATTTGTTCTATAATTCAAAAACAGTGTTAGTGTCGGATGCTTACATTACTTTTATTGTTTCACTTGTCTGTATTTTTAACCATATTGAAATCACTTTAAATTTGCATAAGAATAGCATATTAAAAAGCATGAATGGTATTTAAAAAATAAAGAAAAATCTTGTATTTACCGTTGTGAGATAACATTCTATACAGTGAAGTGACGTTGTCTCCACCACAAGTAGCGTTAGATGAAACTTCGCACCCATGATTGCAGTTTAGTTCTCTGATTCTTTTATCAGATTTGTCCGATATACAATAGCACTATAAAGAAAAATGTCTCAAGAGATCACTTTTTAAATGTTAATGTAAAACAGAGAATAAGAAGGTTATATAAATCATACTTAACACAATATTCAAATACTATTTTTTATGTGGAGAAAATTCATACGGTGATTGTCCAGCCTGCATCCTGGTTGCAAAAAGACGACATTCTATTTAAAGAAAAGTTTTAGATACTTATCAAAACCCGTTCACGATGAACGCTTACATGTGGTTATTTTTCAGCATCATTCCTTGTGTCGAAAACCCTTTGCGGTGTTTTATTTTGAAATATGGGGTATCACATTAAATTTAAATTCAGTTGTGATAAAAGAGACTGGATCTTAACTAATGTTTCCTTGTATTTGGAAATATCATCGCGGTCCCAGTCGGGCTGGGACTCATGGTCCATCGTTAGAGGTATACACATAAACAATTAAGACACCGCTCCCTTTATGTGTATTTTTTGGAGTCCCAAACCGCAGGCACTGGTATGTTTCTGGTATAACCATAAATTTAGTTTAAGTAGCCCAAAAGCCTACGATGTCAAAAAGGGAATAGATCATACTCATGTAAATTTATAAGACACTACAATCAAAATAACTTTCACATATACTTATGTAGAAGTCACTAGATCTGTTATATCGTTAACATGTATCTTTTTTAAACTTTATTCACTGCACGATTATATTATACCGTTTGTTTCTGTATCCCAATAAATGGCGTTTTGGAACAAGCAGAATAGCACCATCCGATATTCGTTGTACCAAGCTGTATTTTGATTATGTTCAAGTCCTCTGAACTCATGCATCCTGAATGAAACAACATTAAATGCATTCAATGTTATTTAATCAAAAGGCTTTTGCACGTATATATTATTTGTGAGTGGTTGTATTTGTTTTCAAGAAATACTTCATACAGCACCTATTGTTATGACAAAATGACAAATGTTAATTTTGCCGATACGTTTATCATATATATGATACGATGAGTTGTTTTCGAGTGGTACTGGATTTTCGGATGCGAGATATCGATTCTCAATCGGCCCCATATCCGTTTTCCTATCAAATATTTATTTCAAAACTACGGAGGTTAGAATGTATTATAAAATAGCTTTGTGTCAAGGTTAACAGACCACTTTGATAAAAACTATATGTTAATTTGGTTTCAGATCTATTACACATTCTAGGTAAAGAAAACATCTTAATAATATATAAAAATTTACCAATATACTCAAATAAAGCAGTTTGTTGATAGTAACCGACCCAGACCTTCTTGCTTTATAATGTTTCCATGCATATCAACGATGAGGTTTTTGATTACCATACTTTATGGTAGGTGACGCTATCTTGCATTCATCTCTTTTCTTGGCGTCCACGTAAATGTTGAATTTGAAACGTGATAACACCATGTATCTAAAATAGTAGAAAATTACCAATGATTTTAAATTAGTTATTTGCATAAAACATTATAAGAATAAATTTCCAGTAAAAATCGATATATGAGTGTTTTTTGTTTGTGTTTGATTTTTTTTTTGTTGGTGGTGGCCCTGTGATAATTGTTCATAAAATATCCGAAAAAATTGAAAAGCGTCATTTAATCAAATTATATTTATAAGCTTGTAAAAATGTGATCGGTTTTGGGGACTTTTAATTCATAAAAATATTAAGCCAAGAAAACAGTCCGATAAATGTACGTGTTCAAATTGAAGTTCTAACAATTTTTCTTTATAAACTTTACATCACGCATGTCTTAAGTATGCTTCGGGGAAGAGTTTAATATTGGTTTTAGACTGACTAAGTTTAAAATGTGTGCAGTCAATAAACTCATTTCAACAGGACAAAAGCTTGGTCCGGAAGCCATCCGGGTATATAGGTTCCACTCAAAAGAACTCGGTGAACATCAGACATTATCATTTTACACAATTCATGAAAACATTAATTTAGTTGTCAATTGTTATGTACTGATTTAAAGTATCCCATTGTGAAATGTATTTAATTTATGTATCAATTGTATTTCATTTATGTGACAATGCAACATTCAACAAACATACAGGAACTTACCTTGAAATATGATCACTAAAAGACAAAAAAATGAATATATCCAGTTTCATTATCCACATTGAATCTTTTTTTTCCTTCCATATACAAGTGTCTTTTCCGAAAATATTATAATTAAACCTTGGTGCATATATAAGACAATTTAATGGTAAGTAGCTGTGCACTTCACTTAGGTCTATATAATTATATATCTTCAATTACACTTATTGCTTAATTTTCGTGATGTCCCGTCATTGCACGATGATAATACTAAAGATGATTTTTCATATAAATATACCGTTATTTCTTGCGACAAGGAAGTAAAAAGTAAAAGAACTTGAATCAACAAGTCAAGAGTTACATATTGTTTGGCATCCTTGATAAGAAAGTAGATAATAATACTCATAATAATAATTGGTAACTATTTTACATGTAATTACTTGTACAAGGGCTGTCCATAATGTTCGCAGAAAGTTTTCATAAGTCAAATATAATGCATTTTTGTCGCTTTTTATAAAATATTTGTAATTACCATCGAATAATCTAACCTCAGCAGAAATTTTTACGAACAGTGTTTAATGTATCTCATTAAAAGTTTTGAAATCACGTAATAGCGTTAATA